GCAGGCAGGCTGGGGAAAGTGGAAAGATCAGGGAGACATCTTTAAATGCCTCCCAGCACCTTCACCAACCCACCCACCTTAGCGAGCCGGCTGGGGAAGGCACAGGGAGGCATCTTTAAATGGCTGGCTGGCTGGAGATGGGAATCAGAGGTGGAGCAGGACCTTCTCTCCTTCACTTTCTCAGCTGGTCTGGCAGCCTACTGGGGAAGTGATATAGTGGGGATGCTGTATAGAAGCCAAATAGATTTGGCTTCTATATGGCAGTACTTTTTTGGAAAGCCGAATCAGAACACAGAATCTGATTTGGCTTCTAGGGAGCCTGAATAATGCCATATAGGCATTGTACAGGTTTTTTCCCAGCTTGGCTGAGCTGAATGCACATCCCTAATAATAATCTGCATTGAGGAAATGCTGCAGGTGAGGCTTTAACTCTTCTCAAAATTTTTGCTCCCAATCTGCAGCACTTGCCTCTTTCTTCATCGACATATTCAATACATTGCATTCACTGACCCAGAAAGGAAAGAATAGTAAAAAAAACCACCCAGAAGCGACTATTGCTTGTGCAGAATAAAACTGAAGCCCCCATTCCCCCAGCCAATGAATCAGAAATATTGGTTGGGTTTTGCCAGGAGTTGGAGAGGACTGGAATAGACAGAGGGGTTGAGCTGGGTGCAGTGTGTTTCACTCTGCAGTGTTTATTTTATACCCCAGCCTTTCAGCCTATATTTACTAGAAAGGAGCTAATGACAAGTTAGCTAGGGAGTACTCCGGTGTGGAATTTAATTTAAACTGACAGACCTGGATAGTCCTTTTGCCTTGGCAATCAGTTGTCTCTTGCTTCAGTAATGAGGCTGATAAAGCTAGCTGGTGGGAATTTGCCCATCTGATTGATGGACATGTTTTCCCACATTATTCTTTCAAGCTTTAAACTAGTTGTGATTAAAATACAGACCATCTTGATACAAACTTATTTTACTGTTTACATCTCTCCATGGCTATGCTGTTACAGCTTTAATTAACAATCTCAGAGCATTTTTTGTTTTTGTTTTGCCATACAGAAAGGCCTCTGCAGGAGGAAGGAACGATGCAGAGTAGGGATGGGCACAAACCGATAAATGAATGTGGTTCGCGAACCAGGGGTTCTGGAGAATGTGTCTCCCATGATCTGCCACACAAACCTCCATGTTTTTTCATGGAGGTTCATGGGAGGGTTCGTGCGGGCTCCAAAGGCATTTAAATACCTTTGGAGCTTACTTCCAGGTCCGGCAGCCCAACCAGAAGTGAGCTCCAAAGGCATTTAAATGTCGTTGGAGCACCACCAGCCCATGGCCCGACCTGGTCAAGCAGCTCGACTGGAAGTGAGCTCCAAAGGCATTTAAAGAACAGCAACAACAAGCTAAGTTCATACAGTCACCATTTGTTTGGATTTAATTGGGGGGGAACAATGAAGCAATAAATATGTCAAAACAGGAAATAAATGTGTAAAGTATCCTCCGTAATTGTTAAGAATAATAAACTGTGACTCTGTTGTTACGCTTCATTTGCCTCCTCTCAAGCATGAAGTTAACAATATCCTTTTCCTAGAGGTGGGGTGCAGTGTTATGTCAGAAAAATACATTCCAATATTCATTGCATTACATTCAGTATTCCAATATACTATTCCAAAAAATATAGTATTCCAAAAAAAGAACAGGGTGGTTTCAGTTTGTTTCTTGATTAGTTAATGCCTAAGAAAGAATTCCTAAGTAATTTGAAATTTCAAAATCAATGGGGAAATTCTGGTGAAGAGGATCTTGGGAACATCTCAAAGCAGTGCATTCTAGATATAGTGATAACATGATGACCTTCCTGTCTTAATTTTCACAAAGAAGTAGTGATGCTGCTACAGTTTCCTAGAGACTAATGTGCTTATCCCAAATACATTAAAAGGTCTAGTTGTGATTTCTTGGTATGGAGGAAAAAAACACTCTGGGTATGTTAATAGACTTGCTCATTGCTTTTTATATTATAAAGCTGAATCTTTGGCATTAAAATGAGACTTTCAAGCTATGCCCTGATTACTCAAATTAAGTGACGTTCCTCTACCCAGCCCTATGTCAGTTGTCTCCATCTTCTTCCATCATCCCCCATTCATTTTTTAAAATATGCTACTGCTACAAAAGGCAGCAGCATACAACTTTTAGAAACAACACCTAAGCAGGTGAATCATCAGTTCATGGATGAACTGGCTATAAGGCCACAGTTAACTAGCCTTGTGCAGAATTAATTGCATGAGTTTCACAGAAGGCTAGCTAAATCTTCAGGATATAGCCTATGGCAATAGCAACAGACTGTAATCTGAGATTCATTATTTTATATCAGAGGCAGTTGCTTTTAAGATATTCTCAGGTCCCTGTTACAACAGCAAGAAAAGCTGCAGGTGAAGTGCGGCTTTTTAGAGCCGCAACAAACTGAAGCATGCTATCATGATCTCATGTTCCCCCGCGGCTCCGTCCTCCGGCAGCCGATCACACCACGCGAGGCAACAACAACACACCGCGTTTGTGTGCATGTGTGGGACGCGGATGGGTGCTGGATGCGACGGCCTACCAGCGCGTCCCTGATCAGACGCCCGCCTGCGCCATGCATTTTCCTGAAGATACTACTTGTTTGCTGGTACCTTTTTAAACCACGTTTTCGGCCAGAAGGGACGGGTTGGGGGCAGGTGCGCAACGTTTGCCAGATGTTGGTATCTGATCACGCCGGTTTAATCCACCCTCAATCCATCCGTTTCACGAGGCAAATCCTCCCGTGTGACCGGGGCCTCAGTTTACTGATTGCATGTGGTGTTTATCATTGATGCAATGCAGGGATCGTAAAAACTGTAAACATTTATTCTTTTAAAAAATCATGAAGCTGCTTTGATTTCTTTAAAATAGCAGTTGCTAGACATTCCTAAAATGATCCCCTTCCCCTCTGTGAAAGTATTTCTAATCACCCAGCTCCGTCATGTCTGGACACCTCACAGTCGTGTCTAGCTTCCTTTTATAGATAGGGAAGAGTTGCACTGTTAAAGCAACAGCTGTGAGAATAGGCAGCAGCTGCTTTTGCTTACACATCAAGAAGGGTCTCAGAAAAGGCTAATGTTGTACACTCAAGTGAAAAAGAGCCTCTCAGAGCTTGTGTGGTATTTATCATGATGTGGTATGAATGCACATGGAAACAGCTGCAGTTGCTCAGGCAACTGCTGTGACTGTGCAGATCATCTGACTGACCCATCTCCATTCATCAAGAAATGCAGTTTGCACTTAACTTTCACTTAATCTGTAAATTGGACACAGGCCCAAATCCTACCTTAAGTGTACTACTGAATCAAAATGCGGTGGCAAAATTTAAACTCAGGATCCAAGTCAACATTAGTGATCTCACACTATTAGTCCTCAAAGGACTAATGTTTGAGGGCCAGGAACATGATGGGAGGCAGTTTTGATTGTGAAAATCATTTTAGGAAAGGGAAATGTTTCTCCACTCCATGGGCCTGAACTAAATCTGGCCACCATGTGACTAACCCTGGGAATATTGGATCATAGATCTCGCAGTATCTTGTGTAGTCCACCCTTTGGTATATGTGGAATGGGTACCACCAGTGCATCGTATTAAAACTGAAAAACCATTATCTGACAACACAGATTGTCTGGGACCTGTTTTCAGTGTGTTTCCTGGTTGGAACACATGCACTTATTTATTTAAAAAATGGTTTGCAAACTGTTTTTCTGTTTTGCTGAAGGCAGTTTGCACAAAACAATTACCAGAATTGCTGCCATGATGAAACACAACAACAGTGGGGTTACAGAAGATAGCAAAGCCTAGAATGGTGCTGGGGTGTAATTGGCAAATAATTCTGCTTCCTCTTTTCATGATCCAGATGCATAAACAACTGCAGGGGTTACCTGGGAAGGCATGAGGCCAGTGCAGTGAATAAATCACGCCAAGGCAATGGACAGCAGGTTCCTCTGTCTGAGCTCAGAGGAGCACATAGTTTGGGTACAAAGGCTTTAAACGGATGGGCTCTGTTACCAGGTGTTGTGAGGATATGTGTGTACCTGAGACATATACTTGTGTAGATATGGTCGACTTTACAATTTGATCCCACACCCATGCCAAAATAGTCCAGAAAGCAACCTTCGTTCCATCAACCCCACTACTTGCCTAGGAAGTGGTTGGCTAAAGATACCCTTGGTTCTAGGTAATAACCCACACACCAATACTTGAGATCTGTTACTAAGGGCTGTGATGAGTTTGAAAGGAATGCTGAGACTGAGATTAAGTGAAACAAGGTTTTTGACATGGAAGAGTGCCAAAAGAGGGTGATGGTGAAGGCCCTAGTAAAGCACAACATAATCTTTGTGGGTTGCAGCTTGGCATGCCAGCTGCCAGCATGGAAGATTTATACCAAGGAGCTCTATCCTTTTGTTCCTTTGTGACTTGTATGTTTGTAAACCTATTGTCCCTTTCAGATATTTGTTGGCTGGAAAACATGCAGTAGAGAAACTGCAAAATCACTCGCCATGTAAAGCATGCCTTGGCCTTAACAGCCACAAGAGAGATTTATTTTGTGTTTCTGGGAAATCTATAGAAAGAGCTTGAAGCTAAAAATAAAGCTTAGGCCAGCAATTCAGGTAGTTTTAATGAATTTCCCTTGGCAGGGTACAGAATGTGCTTGCAATGAACCGTAAAGCAGTCTGCTCTAATGCCTTTCACCAGGCTTGCTGGAAATTGGAATTACGTTTTTAAAGGGCCTTCTGGCCTTTCACTAACTGAGCTTCTAGTGAGGCAGTTTTAGCAGTAAGCAAATAGTTGATTTCAAACATCTGAAAAATAATATGCATGATGTGATAGTAGGTATTGTTTATTTTGTTTTCTAAGCCCACTGCAAGCAACTGTTAGCCAATTCCTGGTTCCTCTCCATGATATGAATGGATAGAGTGGTTATACCTTTGGGGTTTTGTTTTTCCCTGCAGCTGGGATGACAGCAGTTCAGTTAGCAGCGGCCTCAGTGATACCTTGGATAACATCAGCACGGATGATCTCAACACCACTTCTTCAGTCAGCTCCTACTCTAATATTACTGCCTCTTCAAGAAAGAATGCACATACTCAGGTAACTCGTCACATTTTTTTCTTTCCTGCTAGCAGAAGTATAATAATGAATCCAGGAAACTTCTTGGGTCTTTCCTTTCAGCATAATTTTATTTCCCACTTTGGTTTGCTTGTTTTACATTTATAATAATTGTGATTCTACTAAGCATGCATACACATACATGTCATTATGAGAATAGTGTAGCGTAGGGATTAGAGTGTTGGACTAGGATCTAGGAAACCCAGGTTCAGTTCCCCATTGTGCCATGGAAGTTCAGTGGGTGACCCTGGGCCAGTCACTCTCAGCTTAACCTGCTTCACAGGGTTGTTGTGAGGATAAAATGGAGAAGAGGAGACCAATGTAAGCTACTTTGGGTCCCCACTGGAGCAAAATGCAGGGTAGAAATGAAAAATGAAATAAATAATTAAAGGCCTATCCCATTTGAACCTATCACAGTCCTTTTTATAAACAGCTCCACCATGCTTACAGATAAGACTGTAAATAAAGAAATAAATTTGGCTTGGCATGCACTATTGGGCTGTTTGCAGTTTTTGTTGTGTTGTCAAATTGGTCACTTTAATACTGCAAGTTATTCTAAGCATATTACAAATCTTCCTGAATTTGAGCCTGGATGTATATATTTCTGAATTTGAGCCTATATTTGAGTATTATATTTGTTTGAAAATGTTACTCCGATTCAGTCAAATTAAAGTAATCCCATTAATTGCTGTTGTTTTATAGCCACCTTATACTAACCATATTGCTATAAATTATTTTTCCTGTTACAAAAAGATTGGTATAAGCAGCAGTCATAATAACTGCCATTTCTGACAAATGATGCCAATTGTTGTTCATTATATTAGCAGCTGTCTATAATAAGCAGGTGCTGTTTCAGTGGTCTACAGTGGCACCATCCATTCTGCTGCAGTCACAGTGCTTTTGTGCAGAGGAGTCCCATAAACTCATATTGCAGGGAGCGTGACAGCCAATTAGGGAGACTGAGAAATCTATGTACAATCCCATATCCCATTTAGCCTTTCACCTGAATACAAACTACTCATGCTTTGGAACACAGGTAATGTGCAGCAGTGAACCGATAGGAATGGCTGTGCCTACACATGCTCACAGGCATTTGGGAAGACAAAGTTGTATGTTAATACTCTACATGCAGAACTTGCCTCTACAGTAGACTGGATTTTGCCCACTGCCTTGTGAATATTGACAATAAAAGTTTTTGTCCAGCATGTACACAGAATTCAGTATGCATATGAGGATCTTGTGTGAGATGTCCCTGATACATCTTAGATCCACACCTGTGTGTTTGCATCTGGGTACGAGGCAGGCCCGTAGCCAGGATTTCTTAATTCAGGGGGCCTTTAAATAAGTCAGGGGGCACTGATAAAATAAAAATAAAATAAACTCACACTCACAGGCAGGAGCAGGGTTATTTCCCCTATTGTGGAGGGTGGGTGTAAGTGAAAGTCAGTCATGGACTCTGAGTAACCTGAGGAGGATCCCCTCCTCCTCTCATTTTCCCACACAACCACATTGGCTGTGTGGAGTGCAGGGAACTACGGCGAAACATTGCTTTTTTCCCACCATAGAGAACAATGGAGGGGATGGGGGCAACCCGTTTGGGGGCCCGTAGCATTGGACCCCCTGGTCCAATGTTCTTGAAACTTGGTGGGTATCTTGAGGAGAGGCTCCGGCAGCTACCCTGTGAGGGTGGATCCTCTCCCTCAAACCACCTCCCCTCCAGCCCCCTAGAATATACATTATGCTTTCGCCATTGACTTCAGTGGCCCATAGGATATAATGGGACCGAAATTGACATTCGGCTGGCGGAAATACTCCTCAATGGGCTGGTACTGCCAAAACTGACATGCGGGAGTCTTTCTGCCGGCCAAAATTGATGCTGCCCAATTTGGCCGCCAGCCCAGGGTGGAGCCTGTTGGGCTGCTTACAGGTGGGGAAGTTGTGGGGCCTTGGTAGGAAGTCGGGGGGGGGCAGGCCCCAGAATGCTTCAATGTAGCTACGGGCCTGTATGAGGCAGAAATATTTCATCAAGCTAGAACTAATTGGTGGAGTTAAAATCAGTAGACTTGTTGTGTTACTGGGGTGCAGGGTTCTTGGTTTAAGTCATTATTTAAATGTAAGTAAATTGTATTAATACCAATTGAGTGCCAGTGTGGTGTAGTGGCAAGAGTGTCGGACTAGTATCTGGGAGACCCAGACTCAAAGCCCCATTCTGCCATGGAAATTCACTGGGTGACCAGGGGCCAATCACACTCTCTAAGCCTAACCTGCCCCAAAGGGCTGCTGTGAGGATAAAATGGAGGAAGAGGAGAATTATGTAAGCTGCCTTGGGTCCCCATTGGGGAGAAAGGTGGGTGTTAAGAATCTGGATCTACATATAGGGAAGTGTGATTCTCTCAGATTTAATTATTTCAGGACTTCTGGAGCAATTGCATTAAGTGCAGTTCAGAAGGTCGGAACTTAAAAAAACAACAACCCACAAGTGTGCCATGTGGAGACTGACAGTGCAATCCCAAACAGCATAACATCCTTCTAAATTCACTAAAATCAATGGGCTTAGAACACTGCAACTCTGTTTAGGATTGCATTGTGAATTCTGTTTGACATTTTTTGAATAAAAGCTGCTTCATGTAATATAATGTCTGAAAAACCCCTGTGGTGTCATTGTTAGCGCCTGTAGTAAAAATTGTTGTTTCAGAAAATTAGTGAGTGGAAGAAGATTGCCTTTCAGGCTTGCTGAGGCTATTAAACATTTGGAGCCAAGGAAGAGAGACGTTAAAAGGAATAATTACTTCCTTTTGTTCTCACATCATAATTAATGAAAGAAAAAAAATAGGCAATTACTGACTAATTCCATGACATTGATTTCTTGTAGATGAAGACAGATTCAGAGAAACGTTTGGTAACAGATGGAGAACTGTGGGGCAGCAATGAAGAACTGAAGAAGCCAGAGGAAGATTTTGATAGCAACACTGACAGTGGGAGCAAGTGGAAAAGCCATCCCTCTGGCCTCCTTGAAGATACTGAGAAAGGAGGACAGAAAACAGCTCTGTCTGTCTCTCAGACAGGTTCTTGGCGAAGAGGCATGACTGCACAAGTAGGGGCAGCACCATCAAGGCACAAAACTGGAACGGGCACTCTCAAGACACCTGGTAGGACAGACTTTCAGAAATGTAACTTCTTGGGTATTTATTTAAAACAAGAAGGGGGGACCCATGATACTCGCGGGGGGGGAAGGAGCTCCACGTGGAGGAGGAGGAGGAGGAAGCAGCCACAGGTGAGTCTTCTCCCTCGCTCCCCCCCCACACCCATGCTGAGGCCCAGGCCCGCCAATCCTTCTCCCCTCCAACCCCCAACGGTGAGGCCCATGCGACTCCTAGCTGCCAGGCCCGCCAATCCTTCTCCTCTGCCTTCCCCACCCCAGCGGCGAGTCGTACGGGCCTGCTGAGCCTTCCCCCTGGCTCCAGCGGCGCGGCCTGAGAGGCTCCCAGCCACTGGGCCCGCCGAGTCTCCCCCCCAATGGCCAGAGCATTCTCTGCGCATGCACAGGGAACGCTCTTTTACTTTTTGGCTATTAGATATATAGATGTTTCCAGTCTGCCTTATTTGCTTAGATGCAAGGTGGCTAACTGTGCAACAACTTGCAAGGATGCTGAACATAACAGTCCATTAGCAAAATAAGCACAGTGCACAGATTAAAAACATAAAACTTAAAAACACACAGCCAAATCTGCTGAAACCATTTGCCCTCTCCCAAATGGCTTCCAGTCTTTCATGCATTCCTTAAATGCAGCCCATGAAGGGGCCTTCTGCTCCTTACGTAGTTGTGTAGGCATCCATCTTTCTGAACCTGAGACTGGGCAAGGAAGAACATTAAGCTAAGATGTATCATGGGTTTCTGAATAGAAGTTGGGTACAATGTCCCAATCAGGATTATTATGTTCACAACTGAACAAAGTTTGAGTCCAGTGGCACCTTTAAGACTAACAAACTTTAATTCTGGGGATAAACTTTCGCGTGCATGCATACTTCATCAGATAATTGTTACCCAATTGTTACCCAAATCATTCCCTGTGCACAGTCTGTCATGGTAAGGTGTCCCTTTTCCACACAGAGACAGGGTAAGCAAACAGCAGTAGGGTAATCATGGAGTCCTTTGGCTTCTGTCTACACAGCTGTCAGTTTTGGTATAATAGACCTCTGGGGGTGTGGAGGGGATGGATGGAGGAGAGACAGGAAACTTAATAAGAAAGTAATTTTATTAACCTGACTGAGACGTGAGGAGATCAGTATTAGGCATGAAAACCAATACAACCCTGTCAATCGCACCCATTTAAAACCAAACTTGTTTGAAATTTGGGTGTGTTTCTCCCAGAGGTAATGTTAATGGTGGGGGGAGCACAGTACAGGAAGCTAGCTATTAAAGAAGGATGGGGCAGCCAGAAATGGGGTGTGTGAAGAAAGTGAATCATGCTTTACTTGATTATGGAAATAATTCCAGAGTGTTCAGGTTAGTATGGAAGATAGTTTGAAAGCATTTGTATACAATTAGAGGGCTTACCTAGAGCCCTTCTTATGCACTTGACTTTACCTGGGTTACAGTGGTAAAGTGTTGCCATTGGTCAAATTGGGTGCAAAACTAGCTATTGTGATTCCATTAGACCAAGGGTGTAAACTTGGGGTGGCCATTAGTGGATTTAGAGCTGGACTTTGATTGATGCAAGTATTGGTGTAAGGGTCGGGAACTAGGCTATGAGTGCCTAACTGGGCTGACCTATGAGGGTACCTGAATTATTATATGACCAGCTGAGGCGGCTGTTAAGTCTTAGCTTAAAAACTTATGGCACCTAGTAGATGGCAAGTGAGACATAAGGATGGGCACAAACTAGCTCACGAAGTAAAGTTCGTCATGAATTTTGGGCAGTTTGTGGTTCATGAGGTGATGTTCGTGAAAGGGTGCTAGGCATGAACATTCCACAGACTTTGGTGCTGTTCTTTGTCATAGGGATTGGCCTGTTTGGACCATGTAGAGAGTGGAAGGACATTGCTGACACATGATGGGCATAAATCACATTAGAGGATGAGCAGGAGTATGACCCTGAGATGGTGTTGCTGGTGTGGCTGGGTCCACTGATGGTGTTGGTTAGCCGAATTGCTCTCAAAGAGAAACAACTGGTACAGTTATTATTATCGGGATTCTTCCGTCTATGTTTACGGAGGATGGCACTGTTTCCGAGGTTCCCAATGAAAGACTGAGGCAGACTTCCTTAATAATAATAATAATAATAATAATAATAATAATAATAATAATAATAATATATGGTGGTTGATGCTCTGGGTTATAATTAGCTAGCTACAACTGCGTGGCTCCAAACTTCCAGCGAAGGGGTAAGGATGGGGAGAAAATGGGAAAAGAATGGTGACTCAGACCATCTAAGACCATGTGCCAAGAAGTTCTAGCTGCGCAATACTAGAACGTAAAGAAGGACGGGTAGGGTATGGGATAGCAAGCTGGACTTAAGAGGTAAAGCAGGTTTTGTAGAGGGCGTCATTAGAGAGCGATGGGGAGTTCCAGGGTAGAGAGCTCAAGAGCAAGAACATAAGAGAGAGAACTGTGGGTGCATTTTTGATTATATCAAAAGGGGTCTAGAGGAGGAGCTGGGTCCAGGGGACCTCCCCTATGACACAGTGTTCTGTCATAGCCAAAGGGTCTGTGATTGGCTACTGTATTTCTCTGGGTGGGCCAAGGGACTGGCGGGCAATTTGAGATCTAGTTGCTAACTCAATCAAGACACCTGGGCTAGGGGTATTAGTATGCAGATGGATGACTCATGACCATGCGGCCAGGCTGAATACCGGGTCTTTGTGAGTACGTGCAGTTTCGTTGGTGCGAGGGGGAGGGGGGGGCCCCTGGAGGTAGGTGACCATGCGGCTGGTTTGAAATGCCATCTTGTGCTTTCTGTGACCATGTGCTTTGTTCTATGGCGTACACTAGACACGGGAACACCTCAGGAGTAGCAACCATTACAAGAACACAGTCTTTGGTATGTATCCTCATTGGGCGCTCACAGCATGTCAGTTTCAGGCACAGTCTGTCGTTGGCACACTTGATCAAGTACAGTAATGGCACACTTCATCAGGTACAGTACAACACAGTCCATAAAAACACCATAGTAGGCTTGCGGGCTTACATGTTGCTAGGATCTATATCAGAGCAAAGTTGGCATCTTGCTTTATTGCAGGCCTTGGTACCAGAGTCCATGTTACTGTTAAGTAGTTTTTCATTGTGGGTGAAAAGTTGTTTTAGGTTAGTAGGTTATCTGTAAGCAAGGAAGGTCAGCCCCCCAGTGCCTGTGTGAGGGAAGTGTCACTATCCAGCATGGCTTGTAGGTTGTTAATAATATGTTGAACTGGCTTGAGTTGTGAGCTGTATATGACCACCAGTGGTGTTCTGTTGTCATTTTCTTTGGGCTTGTCTTGTAGCAAGTTGTCCCTGGGTATCATTCTGGCATTTCCAATCATCTCTCTCACCATATCAGGAGGATATAGTTGCAAAAATGTCTGCTGTAGATCCTTCAAGTGAGTATCTTTTATCCGGGGTGTCACAGATACAAACCAGCTTGTACTCCCCTGTATTGAAGAGAGGATGTAACCTGATGGTGATGCCCACCTCCAACCTTTCTACCAAGGCCCTGGCCCATGGGAGAACAGCCGGCTCTAGTGCAAAGGCCAGTGCCCAGTCCAGCCCTCAAATCAGGGGGATGACTTGCCCCAGTCTGAGCATATGGGCACCCAGCAAGTTGGTGGCATCCTGGAAGAGCTTGAGGACGTGCAGCATTTGGAAGGGGGTCAGCCAGTTGTTGGAGCTGATGCTGATCTCCTCTTCCCTATGCAGAATGGTCATGGAGGAGATGACATCCTCCGCCGTGCACTTCGGTTTCACCAAATGTGCAGCAGACAGGCAGACTTGATGCTGCACGAGAAGTGGGTGGCCAGGCACCAGCAGGTCTTGAGCAAGGACTGCATCTTGAGGGGGGCAGTGCTCCCTAGCCCCAGAGCATCTATCACTACCAGCTGAAGCACGTGCACCAGGCAGAGGATGCCCTTGAGGTGCACACACTTCACCTCTGCCAGCATGTTGGTATCGGCATCCGTGACCATGTAGCGATGGATGATGTTGCCACTGCCCACCCTCAGCCCACGCTGTATCACACAGCAGCAGTGTTTTGCGTCATGTGGTCTGCATCCATCCCTTGCACATGCAGCAGAAGCACTTTGTAGCCCAGCAGCAGGACTGCCCCCTCTTGGGGCCTGGGTCCCCAACAGTCTTGCTGGCTGCTCCAGAGGTCTGCCGTGAAGTGCACTATTCTGCCTTGTGCTCTGGAGACCTGAGCCTTGACCATCACCACTGCAGCCGGTGATGGATTGAAGTGTTGCCATATGTCATATGTTCATAAACGGAAATAATGCACAGGGACTATTTCAAGTATGTTCCTTGAAGTGTTGGCCACCCACAGCAATTATCTTGCCACCGCCAAAGTATCTGGGGTATGTGTGTTTCTACCATGTCATGAACCACACAAACCAGTTCATCAAGCATCAAAATGTTCATGTGCACATCACAAACCATGAACTGAACTGTTTTTTCCCAGTTCATGCCCATCCCTAGTGAGAAACAAAAGGGGTTTTGATTATTTTATTTTGCAAACCTTGGTCATTGTGTATGAGCCAAAAGATGTGAGGAGATCAGGGGGCTATCAAAGGAACCTGTGTTGATATCTTCCTGCTGCCATTAAAGGCATCAAAGAACCTTTCCCACCCAAAAAAAGTGGTTTTCCACTTGGCACTTGTGATCTTTGAATTGTAAATCAAAAGAATGTCCTTCTTTTCACCTCTGGCATCCATTGACCAGAGATTTGTTGGAGTCCTGCATCGTGCCTTTCTCCATTCCTGCATTTCTGCCATCTGTTCAAAGTTCTTGAGTGGACACTCTGCCAGAGGCTCAGTGAAAGAAATTTGGGGGGGGGGGGTATTTTCCCCCCATTGCTGGTCCCTATATTGGGGTACAGACTATGGTAACATAATCATTATACTTGACCTGCGTGAGTCAGGTAGAGTTTCAGAAGCCTTCAGTCTGCACAGTAGGGTTTGGGTATATTCATAATGGATTATTTAAAATCCATAGATGAACCACAGGCAAACCAATGGTGGTGGTGGAAAGTGCCATCAAGTCACGTCTGACTTATGGCAACCCCATGGGTTTTTCAAGGCAAAACATGTTCAGATGTGGTTTGCCATTTCATGCTGGTGTGTCATGACCCTAGACTCCCTTGGTAGTCTCCCATCCAAATACTACTAGCTGGGGCTGACCTTACTAAGCTTCCGAGATCTGATGAGATCAGGCTCACTTGGGCTACCCAGGTAAGGGCGTGCAAATCAATAGAGTCAGTTTATGTATTTGAAATACCAATAGAAACATGAAATGCAACCCTGTAATTATTCCTATAGTCTTGAAAATTTTCAACAATTTTCAATAGAAGCTATAAAGTGAATCAAATTTAGCTATATAAATGCTAAGTATGATTGTGATGGGATTTTTTCTTTTTACTGCAAACACCGAACACTTAATAAAGATTGGATATGCTGGAATAGACTTTACAACAATGGATGCTAATGTAGGTGATGATGCGTATACCCAGTACACCTGTTTCAGAAAAATAATAATTTTGAGATAACAAATATGTGTCAATTCTTTGAAAAACAATCTGTGGCAAGCTTTAAAAGCATTCCATTGTAGAAAGGAATATGGAAGAAAACATGAGCAGTGAAAGACAATATAAGCAATGTAATATAATGGAGTAGATTTGTTGTGATGCACAACCATAGTTCCTGCATACGTGGGGTTCTCCATTAATTTCAACTGAAAAGACAGCTATGAGCCACATCACAAGTTCTGCTGCGTCTGTGGATCTGCTCATTTCCCCGTGATAAGAGTATTTGTGTAAATACTTTTCTTTTTGGCATCTGAAGCATGATTGAATTCTTCATAGACCTCTGCTTGTCTTTCAGGTGAAATGGGATGTGGGGAAGGATTGGATACACCTAGTTGTCTTTTTTTTTTTTTTTTTTAAATCAAACCTATTTGTCGAGGTGTGCTGGCAGACAACAGCATTGGGTGAACGGTGATCCAAAGAGCATGGTCAGGGTTCGGTCTAAGGGTTGAGCCAGTAGGTCAGAATGCTGGCACAGAACAGGTTGATGAGCAATCCAAAGGCACCAGAGTCTAGCAGTCCAGGAGTCAGTCATGAGTGAAGTAGAGCAAATCCAAGAATCATAGTCAGGAGCGGTTCGAGAGTCACAATGGCAGAACTAAATCTGGTTCAAGAGTTGTCAGGATACAAGGCAGGTTCAGATGCAGTGATTGGAGGTAATACAACTCATTGCTTCCATGCCTAGCAGCCTCTCTTGGCTGGTTTTTATAGCCATCTGTTTAAGGATCATGCTTGCAGCCAGCTGCTTGGGAGTAATCCTGCAACTACTTAAGCAGCTGACATTGGGCCAGGAGGCATGCACTTTGTTGTCTCTCCTGTAGTTCTGCGGTGCTCTAAGAGTGTGGGTGATACTGGAGGGCTGGAAACCATCAACTGAGTTTCATCTGTTGATTCAGGGCTGAAGGGTGTTGGTGGCTCTGTAACAGCTGTTGGCTGTGAATCCTGACGGGCTTGCAGCTCATCTTCCAGCTTGCTGGCTTCTGCTGACTCAGAGCTGGCTACACCGGGCTCCTGTTCTCCTGAGGAGTCCTCTTCTCTGGAAGGGTCCTCACTCTTGCTGGGCCCTGGCTGACACTATTAGTTAAATCACAGGCTCCTTCCATGTGCTCACTGTCTTTATGATGGTACAAATTTCTTCTGTCAGAGAGGGGATGAAGGAGAGCATGTTAACATGAGAGCCAGCATGATGTAGAAGATAGAGTGTCAGACTAGGATCCTGGAAGACTGGAGTCTGAATTCTCACTTCTACTATGGAAGTTCAGTGGGTGGCCCATCACCTACTCTCAGTCTGACCTACCTCACAGGGTGGTTGTTGTGAGAAAATGGAAGAGGGGAGAATAATGTTCTAAGCCTCTGAGTTCCAGCTCAGGAGAAAAGCAGGATATAAATAAATAAATAAATATGACCACAACTGAGGAAAGGGTTAAGATTTAAGAGAACAGTTCAAAGAAGTTTTAACAGAATGTGATTGTCAGATGAAAACTATAAGATGATGGAACCTATAAAGACAGGACAAAGAACAAACATGTCTAAAGAAACAGCCATGTCAGACAATTCCACTGGCACAGACAGTAATGACAATGTAAGCTGAATGTGTAAAATGCCTCTAAGTTATTGTGAAGGAAATCACATACTCCTTTCTATTGAGTTGAAAGGGTAGTCCTAATAAGAGTGGAATGTTAATTACAAATGAGTTTTAGTGGTACTGTTTGATTTAAAAAAATCAGCATCTATGTTTCAGCAAATGATATTAGTTAAGCCTTCCCCATCTCATATCTGTAACATTTTCCCTTCTTGTGTGTCTAACCCCATGTAGTAGTGTGGATTAGTTCCATCTAAAATGGAATTCAAGGAGAAATCTATGCTGAAATTGTTTCCACGTTTTATAGCTTCTGGTTTTGATCCTGTATAGGCAACGACTGCAGATATTTTCAGTGTTCTGCTCCTCGCAGCAGTTCTTTCCAATTCTGGGACATACATGTAATCAGCATGTGACTCTCAGAGACTGCTTTGGGGATGGGGAATGGGACAAAAATGCCTTCCCCTCCCTGTTCCATCAAAAAAAGGCAGTTTCACCCCCTTCAGCCTATTACTCTATGTGGGTTCTACAGTTGGAAAGGACTGCTGGGGGAGGGGCATGGAAAAGATCCATGACTGTCAGTGTCTTTTGCTGATGGATCACTGGATCCAACCTTCTGTCTTCTGTGCTGCCTTCCTTTGTAACTGACATATTATGCAGGTGCGAGATATTTTGTATATTCATACCTCTATCACACCACACCAGTCTGCTGCAGCTTTGGTGTGAGTGAATTACGGCAATTATGGCCCATGTAATGTTCGTGACAAGAAAGGGTAGCAGAACCAATAAAAGTGGCCGCAAAAGGATGAACCTACCAGCATTTCCGAGGCAGTCTGTTGCCCTTAACAAGGTAAGCAGATTTTGGGGGGTGGGGTGGAATTCTGTCTGAGGGTTTTGGATAATTCCCATCATGTCTGACAAAATGTTCCAGTAGGGGCTAAGTGATGCACTGCTCTTAAGCATGAATAAAACAGCATAATGCTACTGTACCTGCCATATTGTTACTGAAAGTCTGTTGGTACAGATATGAAGGATTACAGAATTGTACCTTTTTTGTCAGGAAAAACAGATGATGTGAAAGCTTCAGAAAAAGTCAAAACTCCCCTCAAAGGACCCTCTATCCAGCGTTCTCCTTCAGATGCAGGGAAAAGCAGTGGCGACGAAGGGAAAAAGCCTCCCTCAGGCATCGGCAGGTCGACAGCAACAGGTTCCTTTGGCTTCAAGAAAACGGGAGTTGGATCTTCAACGATCATTACTGCGAGTGGGGCAACTATAACAAGTGGGTCGGCCACTCTGGGAAAGATGCCCAAGTCTGCAGCTATCACTGGAAAGTCAAACACAGGGAGAAAAACCAGCCTAGATGGTTCACAGAATCAGGACGACGGCGTCTTGCACGTGAGCTCAAAGACCACCCTGCAGTACCGAAGTTTGCCGCGTCCTTCCAAATCAAGCACAAGTGGGATTCCTGGCAGGGGGGGACACAGATCAAGCACTAGTAGCATCGACTCCAATGTCAGCAGCAAATCCACCAGTGCTGCAGCCCCCAATAAACTGAGGGAGCCCACGAAGATTGGCTCGGGCCGCTCTAGTCCCGTGACCATTAATCAGACTGACAAGGAGAAGGAGAAGGTGGCCGTGTCCGATTCTGAGAGCGTGTCATTGTCCAGCTCTCCAAAATCAAGCCCAACGTCAGCAAGTGCCTGTGGAACTCCAGGCCTCAGGCAGCCAGGTTCAAAATACCCAGATATTGCTTCGCCCACATTTAGAAGGTAAGAGATTTTCTGAGAAGTATTTAGTCATGAAATGTATGTGTGTTATGTGCCGCCAAGTTGCTTCCAACGTATGGTGACCCTACAAATTAATGCCCTCCAGAAACTCCTATCATTGACAGCCTTGCTCAGGTTTTGCAGACTGAGGGCCACTGGCTTCCTTGATTAGGTCAATCCATCACATTTTGTGTCTTCCTCTTTTCCTGCTGCCTTCAACTTTTCCTAGCGTCATTCTCCCCCCCCCCCACCTCGACTCTTGTCTTCTCATTATGTGATCAAAGAACAATAGCCTCTGTTTAGTCATTTTAGCTTATAGGGAGAATTCAGGCTTATATTAAAATATGCATATTATGATGATAGCATATGTTATATAACAGTGTTGGGAGTTCTTTCTGCAGTTGACAAAACACAGGAGGCGTGCTCAATGTCCTTCAGTGCAGACTGCTAATACCTTTTAACTCCATTTTAGTATTTCCTGCCAGGGTGAAAAGGGGTGGTGTCATGTCAATCAGATTGGCATGACTGTGCCCATAAGATTTGAGGCTAGTACTGAAATTGCTGCTGGCCTAGCAACTTCTGTAGCAACTCCGAAATACAGTTCACAACAACAAACTCTTTAGTAAGATAGGGACTGCAGCATCAAAAGACTCATGTAAGAAGGGCTGGGAAAGTAATTGGCCTCCAAGACCTGGATTTTCCCAGTTAAGATTCAAAGGGCTTTTTATGCTTGCCAGTTAAGTAGTTGGAAAGTGCTAGTCCCAAGGCCTTTCCTGGGCTTTCCTATCACAGGTGTTTTCTGCACAGGGAGGAGCTTGTGTGGCTTCCCTGTTGCTGCTGTGGCTGCTGATACAGTACAGTGGCAACGGGCCACACAGCAGGTCTGCTCTTAGTTTCCCTTCCTTAGCTCCCTGTGGGAGTCATTCTGTAACAAGAGGGACTAGAGACTTACTTTTTTAAAAAAAAATCAAAGTTGGGAATTCAGAGAACCTGATGGACAGATTGTTATGACATTATAACCATTATAACTCTGTCATGTGACAGAGTTAAAAAAAGGCTCCCTGGTGGCAGAGTGTGTGTGGGGGATGGCCTCTGAAGGGGACTCGGGAAAAGAAAATGTGGCTGGTGTGAACAGGACTGGCATAAACAAGATCCAAACTTTCCCGTTCACCTGGGTGCCACCAAGGCTTTAGTGTGATCTTTGTGGAAGATTGCAGGAAAGACAGAGAAAACTCAAGAGAAACTTGGAAGCACCACGGTGTTTCCCAATAGCCTCCAGGCTGCTAAGTGAAAAGGGACTCCTTTTCTCCAATTTCTACAGCTGCCCTTGATGGCAGGTCTCACTGGCTTCCTCCTGGGCTGTAATCCACTCTCAGACTTCTTCTGTTCTCCCTCCTTTTCTTTCCCTCCCTCCTTCCGTCACTCCTCAGGCAAAGGCAAGTGTTTCTTAGTCAGAGTCAGGGGCTGTTGGGAGGTAGTACATAATCTTAAAATAACTGTTATAGAAAATTTAGGTCAGTGTTAATCATTAGTTCTACAGAACTATGTGCTTGTGTGTGTGCACGTGTGTGTGCGTGCGTGCTTGCACACTCTGGTTTAATTTAGGTGAAGATCAAGCAGTATGTAGTGGTAGAAAGTACAGCAGAAAGCTGCTTACAGAATAAACTTTCTTATGCCAGAAACTCCTACACAATGACAAAGCAGATGTTAATCTGAACTGTCAATACTAGGGGTGTGCAAAAAATTCGGATTCGGCCGAATCGGACAGAATCAATTTCGGCTGGCAGTAAGACTCCTGCATGTCAGTTTCGTCAGTAGGAGCCCATTCCGTCTTTCCGCCAGCCGAATGTCAATTTCAGCCCCATTATATCCTATGGGCCATTAAAGTCAATGGCGAAAACATAGGATATATTCTGGGGGCTGGAGGGGAGGCTGGAGGGTTTGAGGGAGAGGCTCCAAACTCACAGGGTAGCTGCTGGAGCCTCTCCCCAAGATACCCACCAAGATTCGAGAACATTGGAACAGGGAGTCCAATTCTACGGGCCCCCAAACAGGTTGCCCCCATCCCCTCAATTGTTCTCTATGGTGGGGGGGAAATTACCTTTTCCCCACGGTGCTGTTAGTGGCTCTGGGAGAGAGGGGGGTTGAGGGAGGAAAAGAACTGAGACTTACTAGTGATTTCAGCTCTCATAATTTATTTCAGCTCAGAACAAGACGAGAGTACCCAGCTCGCAGGCTGGTTTATACGTGCACAAACCCCACTCCCCAAACACACCCACACACAAGTGATTGGCTATTTACAGTAGCCAAGAGTTCCATAGGCTCTCGTCCAGGAGCCTAGCCTGCTGATAGGAGTTGACTAGGATCCGCTTGTCCCATTGTTACTGAGAGCGAAGCTCAGCCGCTTTGCCTGACCGTGTGGCGAAATGGCCGCACACACGGTCTGAGATGGATACATTACAAGGGAGAGGCTCCACATTTTCAGAGTAGCTTCGGGAGCCTCTCCCCACATACATCCCCATGCCCCAAAGCAATTGGACCAGTGGGCCCAATTCTATGGGCACCCAAACAGGTTACCCCCATTACCTCCATTGTTTCCAATGGGGAAACCCAGCCAGCAACACTTAAGGCAGGCAAGCAGGCAGCACCCAGCAGTCAGACTCTCCCAGAGAATCTCAGTCTGGGAGGTGCTTGTTTAACTGGCCCCCCCCCCCCCCGGTTGGTCTTTTGGGGTTTCTGTGTGGCACTGTGGCATGCTTGCACTGCCATAGTGCCACTTGTTCTGGAGTGTGACACTTGTTCTCATGGCAAACAGGCACCTCCCAAGACAGTTCACTTTCCCTGAGATTCTCTGGGAGAGTCTGACTGCTGGGTGCTGCCTGCTTGCCTGTCTTAAGTGCTGCTGGTTGGGTTTCTCCATTGGAAACAATGGAGGTAATGGGGGTAACCTGTTTGGGTGCCCATAGAATTGGGCCCACTGGTCCAATTGCTTTGGGACATGAGGGTTTATGTGTGGAGAGGATCCCAAAGCTACCCTGAAAATATGGAGCCTCTCCCTCAAAATCTCTCCCTCCCAGAGCCACTAAAGGTTTGGTACAGAGCCAGTTTGGTGTAGTGGTTAAGTGCGTGGACTCTAATCTGGGGGAACTGGGTTTGATTCCCCACTCCTCCACTTGCACCTGGCTGGATGACCTTGAGCAATCCGTAGTTCTGATAAGAGCTGTCCTCGAAAAAGAGCAGTTTCTGTCAGAGTTCTCTCAGCCCCACCTACCTCACAAGGGTGTCTGTTGTGGGGAGGGGAAGGGAAAGAAGTTTGTAAACTGCTCTGAGACTCCTTTGGGTAGTGAAGGGTGGGGGTATAAATCCAATCTCTTCTTCTTCTTCTTTGCTAGGGGGTCCTTTATATGGACAGAAGATCCCCAGAGTGGGCAAGGTTTGGCCATTCTGGTTTTGGATTGGCTGATTTCAAGTTAACTGCTGTCAAATATAAGTGGGAAAAATAACTTGATTGGGCTATTGTGAGCCAAATCTGCATGTGCACAAAGCGCCTGAGTGAGGCAACATGACTGACATACTTTAATTAGGTTGAAGTGAGCCAGATCTGCGTGGACATAAAAAGAGTGGGTGAGGCAGGATAGCTCCTGAAGCAGGAGGGAGGGCAAATGAATGACTTGAGTGCCCTTCTGCATTAAGTAAAAATGGGGAAAAACAGGAACCAGGAGTTGGTCAATGAAATAACAACATCCTTGGGCTGGGCAGACACCTTTGGAATATATCAGGATGTCAGGTGATGTCCTTAGCATTGAATTTCATTTTTATTTTTTTGTTCTTGAGCAAGACATGCCACAGAGCAGGGATTGCACTTAATCAGTTTTTAATTCCAGCACACGCTTCCTCATCTTTCCTGGGATTTTCCAATGTCATCACTGAAACCAGGTGCCTTTATGAGACTCCCCAAATTTCAGATCCCCTGGCACTTAGACTCTAAAAGGGGGTGCCGGTTAAAACAACTGTCCAAAATAAAAGGGGGACCCTACTATCCAAGGGGGTCTCAGCTGGAGGAGGTGGGGTCCTTACAGAGCCAGGGAGGCAACTCCTCTGCAGTATCAAATTGGAGCCAGACCAATCCAACAAAGGTTGGGAAATTGTTTGCGCACCAGCTGATTACTTAAGCAGCACTCTTTCCCCCAGTAGCCAGGAAATACACAGATGGTAGGTTGCTTTCCCTCGCATGCAGTCTCTTGCTGAACTGGAGCAATGGGATTTTATACACAGGCAAAAGGCCCAATGAGAAAACTTAGTGGTTTCTTAAAATATGATGATTTCCTACAAATGAATTTTTTAGAAATAAAGGAAAGTTTAATTGTAATGTTGCCAGTTTCTGCATATATTACAGAATAGGAATTTTGAAACCCATTAACTGGATATTCCGCAAGTTATTAACTATTATGACTTTGCAGGTTCCGATGCTATTTGTGGTCAGGGAATGTTGGCAATATCTCTTATCAAAATTAACTGGTTTTAGCAACTTGGGATACATACCCATGTAGGAGTATAAATCCATTGTAAACTGGCTAAAACTAAGTCAATGCTGCCCTCTTGTGGCCATATACCAGTAAAATATTTTTGCATCGTATTTGTCAAGTGTGCTATTTTGTTAAATATAAAATTGATGGTGCTGATTATTTATTGTTTACCGTAAATTCAGGAGATGTTTTATGTATAAGATTACTCTCACATACTATATTTTCACAACTTCAGAAAGAACTTTACGAAATAAATTTATTTCCAAAAGCTAACTTAAAGTCCTCCCAAAAATTTCACAGTTGCACAGGTGGAAGATAGTGAAGGTAAAACAAATATACATACATATAGTCCTTTGTGGGGGGAAATTAAATATTTTAAATTGTAATTTTAAATTATAACCAAAGTAGCTGCTAATTGAAGATTTAATAACGATGGCTTCACTAAAGAAGCTTTTAAAGTCACTTGTGGATTTGGGTGAAAATTTAATCTTTTTATATCATTGTGTAACAGAAGATTGTTGTGGTTTTCATCTCTGTGGGAAGACCTGTACTTCTGAAAGTACAAGTAATGAATGAGTACCTTGGAATTCGTACTCTGAGTATATCCCAGACATACAAGGCTTAAGTAGATTGACCGCGAGAAGCAATTAATTGGGGGGAAGGCCTTATAGCAATGGTTTTCATTATGTAACTGCCTTTGTTTCTTGATATTATGATGTGAAACTTTTATGTTGACATTGGCTTCCCTAGAGAACACTTAACCCTTGCTTTTGTTTTTCCTTTGCAGGTTGTTTGGTGCCAAAGCAAGTGGCAAGGCTGCCCCTGCCCCAAACACTGAAGGTGGGAAATCCACAGCTGCCATGCCCAGCCCTAGCACCACATTAGCCCGGCAAGGCAGTCTGGAGTCTCCGTCTTCAGGTACAGGTAGCATGGGCAGTGCAGGCGGGCAGAGTGGCGGCAGCAGTCCCCTCTTCAACAAACCCTCGGACTTAAATGCAGACGTTGTCAGTTTAAGTCACTCCTTGGCGTCCAGTCCAGCATCAGCCCATTCGTTCACCTCAGGTGGTCTGGTCTGGGCCGCAAACCTGAGTAGTTCCTCTGCAGGCAGTAAGGACACCCCCAGTTACCAGTCAATGACCAGCCTCCACACGAGCTCTGAATCCATTGATCTCCCTCTCAGCCATCACGGATCCCTGTCTGGATTGACGACAAGCACTCAAGAGGTCCAGACCCTTCTCATGAGGACGGGAAGCGTGAGGTCTACTCTTTCAGAAAGGTGAGCTAATCCCATAGACAGGTATCTCCATAGTGGTCATCAGGTAAGAAAAACAGAAACAGCAAGAATGATTATCTTAGGAGGTAACACTGCTGTGTCATCAGACCTGGAGCCTGATTTTAAGGAGAGAAATGATAATGTAATTGGACATAGTTTTGGGCAGTACGCCTGTTCCAAAGCACTGTCATACTTCCAAAGTCCTTGTTATTCAGCAGAATAACTGATACTACTAAGAGCTTTCTAACCATAATTTTGTTCCATATTTTGTTCTAGAGAAACATACGCCTGGGGAACTACTATCAGTTCCTATGTGAGGTTCATATTAAGCAGCAGTCACTTGGTGCTTCAAAAACCCATTTGACCAAGGGATATTATTGTACCAGCAATAAGTATGCATGCACATGTACATACCCACAAAAGTGTTCTTTCTCTCAAATACACTCACCCCTGGAACAATAACATCTATTTTGCAAACTGGAAAAACGAACTCCATTACACAGTCTAGTGAGGCTTTATGTTGGTAGAGCAGTACAGCTTGGAGTAAATACTTGAAAATTAGGCCTGGTAATTATAATAGTGAAACAGGATTTTATGTAAACTGTTACATTAGTCTGAAATTCTTCAAAAGTCTTTTGAAACAGTTAGACGATTACATGCCATCAATAAAAAGTCACTGTTTTTCATATCAAAACTTTTAACTGCCTATCAACTGTTGCTTTTTTAATCTATTGCTTAAGTGTCACTTTTGAGAACCATTCCATTGTATTACAATCCTATTCCCTTTTTTAAAAAACGTCCTTCTGAACAATTCTGATTTACACAACCATGGAGTGTGCCTTCCTCAGGCAAACTATTCCATCCCCAACAGAGAATGCTTGGGTACAGGCAGCTGTCGCTCCTGTTCATTTGCATGGTAGCACTTTCAGAAGGCTTTGCTCAAATGAGCAAAGCTGTTGTAGCAGAGCACAGCAGATGTGGCCCAAGATCTTGGTAACTGGTACCTAGCCAATGGGCTGACTGCAGAGTGGATGTACGATGCATATACACTAGCTCTTTTCCAATAGTAGCAGAGCCTGCAGCATTCTGTACCAACTGGAGTTTCTGAGGGCAGTTGCATGTAGAGTGCACTACAATAGCCTAGTTTTGATGTCATTCTGGCATGGATCCATATGGCCAGATCAGCCACATCAAGGCAGGAGGCAATCTTCCAGGCTAAATGAAGATGCTAGATAACATCTTCTGCCACTAATTAACTTGCTTCTCCAACAGTAGTGCTGGATCCAGAATAACCCTTAAGCTCTTAGCAGAGTTAGTAAGGGTCATCTGAACTCCATTAAATATTGGTAAGCACCATTACCTTCAGGACCTTAGCCTTCCCTGCCAGCATTACCATCTTGTCAGGATTCAATTTCAGCTTGTTCATTCAGCCATTTTATGCAGTCAGGCAGTAAATCAAGGCCTCTCTTATATTGTCAGGCCATTTGGCTAAAGGCTTCTTCCTGTGTATGGGTTCGGCAATTATACACGTATGCTGAACATAGTAGGACCAATAGAAATGCTTCCAAATTTCTTTTCACCTGAATCTCCCCCCCCCCCGGACCCAATTTTGGAATTTTGCCTTACCTGGTGTTATTTTTGAGTAAAACCGAAGTATCAGGACTTTCCCATTGTTCAGTTTGTATTTCCAAATTCCACACATGGGTTTTGCCACAGCTTTCACTCCATTCATTATAGTCTTTCCTCCCTCCATGGTATTACTGATTGTGCAACAAGCACTGATAAAATACTGCCAAGCAGAAATGTTGATGTGATTGTATGTACAGTTGAATGAAGATTCTTTTTGTATGATACATGTGTGCAACAGCACATGTGCACACTGGTAAAACAGCACACATAAAGAAACATCATATAGTCATATGAACAATAATATCAAGTTTGCTCTTTGGGGACAGTACTGTATCAATGCATGAGTGCATCAGTAATGCAGCAAGGGTAGAGTGTAAGATGCAAATAAACTGAAATCAGCAGCGAATGGAAAGCACACTACATTTCCAGAATCAATTTTTAATTATTTATTTATTTAGTAAATTTGTATGCCATCTCTCCAGACTTCTATGAGACAGCTTACTATGAAAATAATTTTTTTAAATCATGACAGTAAAACAAATCACACAGTAGGACAAGTCAATAAAACGAGCCAAGCCAGAATAAATATATAAGAACAGATCAGTAAAACCATGCCGATAAAAACAGGTCAAGCCATTTAAAAAATCACGGCAAAACAGTTCTTCATGAGCAGCGTAAAATGAAACACTCCTCAAACTAGGAACATACCATAAAGCAACTACCAAGAAATCCCTTAGATAGAAGTGTTTGTAAAGAGATATGCATAAGCCCGATGCCTACAAGAAAGTAGTTGAGCCTCAAGGTGCCCTCCACTTGAAAAGCTCTTCGGTTGCCACCCACCTCACCTCAGTGGGCAGGGACACAAGAAGCAGGGCTTGAGAAGATGTTCTTGATTGGCAGGTTGGTCAATTTTAGAAATCCTTTTAGTAAAAGCAATATTAAGGTAGACTAGAATGTGACACAGAGCAATCTTCTGAAACAATAGGAGGTTGGAACCGAGGAAATTGCAGTCCATCTCTGCTAAACACATAGAATTATAGAAAATGTATAAGAGGCAAGATTCTGATGTTTCCATCAAGTACTGTAGACCGAACAAAGGAAGCCAGTGAATACAGATTAAAACGAGTCAATTTTTAGTCAATTCAAGCTTACATTTCCTGTGAAAATGTGAATATGGACAGAAAGGTTCTTTAGGGAATAAGATGTGGGATCTAAATTACAAAACATTAAGCACATTTAAATCCCATCAATATCAATAGCACTTCAAAACCTTTAGCTTGCTCTCGTTTGATGAGCTCACTACTGTTTTCTCTATAGCAGCAGGTACATGAGACTAAAGGTTTGGGATTTTTTTAATGATTTGACTACAAAGAGTAGAACTTGTTTAAGACATGGTCTTTATCTGTAGGCTAACCTAGGCCCTGGCCACACAGCCAGGAAAATGCGGGGGGGGGGAGCGTGGCTGTTTGCCCCGGGGCAAAATATCGCGCTGCTGCGGGATCAGACATCTCGGCGTGATCCCGTGGTTAGGGTGAAGGTGCCGATCACATGAGTATCTGCACCTCCACCGAGAGCATCCGGCCGATGGGAAGGGGACGGAACAAGCCGCCGCCTCTTGGAGGGCTGTACACAGCCCACTCCGGGCAGGGTCCGTGGGCCGCTCACAAGGAGGGGGGAGTAACCCGCCAGATCTCCCCACCAGCAGCCCTCCCTCCCTCCCTTTCCAGGAAATGCGGCCCGCTCTCCACCTGGCCGCTGCCGCTCACCCCCATCGCAGCCCCCCATGGCCCTCCCTCAACTCCAACGACACCGCACATCTTTGTGCGCATGCGCTGTTGGGCGCTTCTGGAGGCACGGGGGGGACAACCCGGCGGACGCTGGATGCCACGGGAGTCTGGCAGGGACGCGATAAGGCGCCCACTCTTGCCGCGCGTTTCTCAGAAACTAGTATCTCGGAGGTAATAGTTTTTTACTGCGCGTCTTTGGAGGGTAGTCACGGGTCAGCCACGGTAGCTCTACGCTCCCCAGATGTTGTGGTGAGATCACGCCCGGAAAGTCTGCCTATCTTCTGTCTATGCAGCGTGGCTAATGCTCCGTGTGACCGCAGCCCTAGATGAGTTTATAAAAAATAATCTTTCCCAGTCTTATCAGAACATATTGTCTGCATATAATGATCCTGGTCAGGTATTTTTGATTTGAAAACATTTAAACAGTTCATGGTGTAGTGAGAGCCAGCTTAGTGTAGTGGTTAAGAGCAGTGGACTCTAATCTGGAAAGCCAGGTCTGATCCCCCATTCCTCAACATGAAGCCAGCTGGGTGACCTTGGGTCAGTCACAGCTCTCTCAGCCCCACCTACCTCACTGGGTATCCGTTGTGGGGAGAGGAAGGAAAGATGATTGTAAGCCATTCTGAGACTCCTTCAGGTAGTGAAGGGCAGGGTATAAAGCCAACCCTTTTTCTTTTTCTGTTTTATTTGTGACCCAAGGCTCAAAATATTGGGGGTTATTGGACACTTGTTTGGTCACAGAAGATGGTTGGTGGGCTGCATGCAGCTTGATGGGTCCTAAGTTGTTCAGCCTTGCCTTAGAACAAACAAGAAATAAAATACATTATTTTGGTGAGGTATTTCACCCCACATGGATGCTTTTTCTGCAAAGAAAACTATTTGTTTGACGCAATCCCGTGCAACTGGACTGGTTTTAATGATGCTAGCCAATGCTGGGGTTTCTTTCCTGGGATTTTTGATGTAAGGGATGGCTGTCCACATAATTTGAATTGTCATGCAGCTGGATTTGGGTAGAAGCCAAACTTTTAGGAAGTGTAAAAAACACTCAAATTGCAATGGACTCGAGAATTCTAAAAGAGGCAAATAGTATTAATAGTGTTGTCACTAATTTCATTATCCACCATCTCCCTTCCTGTGCCAAGAAGACTCCATGCCCATCTAGGCATCACACTGTGTTACAGTGGGATACGTGTACCATAAACACCTTGAAATGAAAGTCAGATCCCCTGTACCAGACTACTTTTGATTAGGGTTGCCAGCCCCCAGGTCCAGGTGGGTTTTCCCCCACTTTTGGGGGTTCCCGTTTACCCCAGCCAACTGGTGGTGGCACTTGGGTTGGGGTTTGGGAGCGGGGTTTGGGGCATCCCCACCCCCCCAAACGAGTGAGGAGGGCACCTGACAACCCAACTTTTGATTAATTATATTAAGTTCCTAATTAATAACTTTGAGAGTAGATAAAAGATGAGGTTTGTATCTCTGTGAGCCTGGTGAGATTAAGCAGAATTATGCCCCTTCTGTACTGGCTCTCAGCCTGATAACCCAAAACTGGTTTCCAGGTCTCATGTAGGGTTTCCAGTCCTCCCACTGTGCCAGGAGGCTTCCTGTCTGCAGCCCTCTTTGCCCATTAACACTCAGAGTAGCGGCAGGAGATAAATTAAAAAACAAACAACAAAACCCTGGCATTGTCTGCGCTGCTACGTCTGCTTTTGGGGATTCTTACAGGTGATTCCTAGGTCACTTCCAGACATGGCCTGGCAACCCTAGACGTTCATGTCTTAAACTGTCTTTGAACAGTTGTCCCATTTTGGCAAGAGGTGTGATGAAGAATTAAGAAAACCACAGCACTATTTGTGTTGAAATTGCTAGCATGACACTCTTGGTGTAGCCCTTGGGTAGCTGGGTCCATGTGCATGTTGCAGAACCTCTATTAAGAAATCCTTTGCAAATGTGCTATGTAGGGGTTAGTTATATAGCAGCTGACATACATGTAACCAATCAGATTTGACTACCTGATGACATAATTGATGGCAAATGGGCCACCTAAGTTGTTCTTACTCTGTCATATTCATATTTGATATGTGGTCTGTGATTGGCTAAAGTCCTTAAACTGGCAGGCACAGGCATGCACGCGCGCGCGCACACACACACAGAGTAAAAGATAGCTAAAGTTAGGGCATTTTCCAAGAAGCTTTTCATACCCCATAAAAGCCCATTTTTTCGTTTCAAAAATGTTCAAGTACAAAAATTTGGTGCATCACAAAGATCTGTCAATGGGAATTACTGCATCTTTCCCAAGAGTAATAGTGTTCCGCAGTTTGATGACACTTTGACAGCAGCCCACTTACAAGCACAGGCATAAATGGTATAGTAAGTAAGGGAATTTTTCTTTTGTTGCTCTGTCCTTTAGAAACATTTTGAGCCATGGGACAGTTGAAGAAATAAGGCTTATCTGTGAGATCTTAAAAGGAGCAAGAAAAAGTGTATAAATCACTAAGATGCCATAGAAAGATTTCCCTGTCTTACCTGATGGGCAAGTCAGAAAACTACACGATATGAGGCAAATTAATTTGATCTCTTGAAGACAGACATTCTGCACTATGCTGCTACAGCTTGGATAGGATGACATGTTAGCATTCTAGCCTTTTCCATCTATGTTCACACTCACACCAAGAAAATTAGAATTCAGGTCAGGCCCGATATCTTCTGCAAATATTCCTGTACATGTGATTTGCCAAGTAGCTCCTAAAAAAAGTAATTTTTAATGCTGGAGTATAGTTACCCAGATTTTCATAAGGAATGAATTAGAAGGTCTGTATATGGTCTTCCCCCAAAAAATCAAAGTCTAGACTCCATAGACAGTAATGGGAATACGATGAAATAGCTTTGTAAGTAAATGGTTGGTTTTCTTTACAGAAATGTGGAGTCCCCGAGTATATACGGAACAAGACAACTTTTGCACTCCTCCATTAGAGTTTTCCCAGAAAGAATACATTAAAGTAACACTTTGTGATCTTTGTGATGCAAAAACACCTTTAGAATTATAATTCTGAAACTTTCTGAGTACGGCTTGGTGGATTGCTTAGGATCGGAGTGTCTCAGGCTCAAATCCCAGTTCAACCATGAAGCTCACTGGGTGACCTTCAGTTACTCACTTCTATAAGGATAACACAGAGTTATTGTAAAGATAAGAGGAAGGAGAGCCATATATACTATTCTGAGCTCCTTTGAGGAAGGATGGTCTAGAAATCAAATGAAAAATGAATAATATCTCATAAGAACATAAGAACATAAGAGACGCCAATGTTGGATCAGGCCAAAGGCCCATCCAGTCCAACACTCTGTGTCACACAGTGGCCAGAAATACCAGTGCCATCAGGAGGTCCAGCAGTGGGGCCAGGACATTAGAAGCCCTCCCACTGTTGACCCCCCCCCAAGCACCAAGAAGACAGAGCATCACTTGCCCCAGAGCCCCTAGCTATACCTTGTGGCTAATAGCCACTGATGGACCTCTGCTCCATATGCTTATCTAATTCCCTTTTGAAGCCGTCCATGCTTGTAGCACCCACCACTTCCTGTGGCAGTGAATTCCTGTTTTATCTCCTGTTTTATTGTATGTCCTTAGGGGTTTTCTTTGTTTTAACAGCATGCAGCTTGACAGAAATACACTACCAAAAAAGGGATTAAGGTATATAATGTTTTATTCAGCATGACGGCTGTTTTTCTGTTGTTCTGTAACTTTTTGTTGCTCTGTATCCTGTCTATTGAACAACGAATAGAATTTCCACTTCTATTTTAATATGCTTTTAACATCAGAACTTTTCTTTCTGTTCTGGCAGTGTGGATCGCTGGAATAACAATTGCCATCTACACTCTCTTGAAATAACCATGCCTTCTTTCATTATTGAGAGACAATTCCTTTTTTTAAAAAAATCTCAGGTGCTTTTACCTGACTCTGCTTAAGCAAAATTCAGTGACACCTGGAATTGTGCAAAAATCTCCTGATGATTTCTGCTAGTATTTTTAAAAACACTTTCCGGGTGTCTTCAAAGGCATCAGACATTTCGGCTAGGGTTGCCAACCTCCAAGTAGGGGCTGGAGATCTCCCAGAATTACAACTGCTCTCCAGACTCAATAAATCACTTGTTTATTGTTTTAAATGTTTATTCCACTCCTAGAAAAAATGCCTGCTTTGGAAGCTGGACTGCATGACATTATACCCTACCGAGGTCCCTAGCCTCCGTAATCCCACCACCCCCAGGCTCCACCCTCAAATCTGCAGATATTTTCTGAACCAGGAGTTGGCGACCCTAGTTACAGCTGAGAAAGGCGTGACTATGTTTGCTTTGATGCCACTTTGGCAATTCTTCTCAGTAGTCTCTCTCTCTCTCCTCCTTGTCTTCTTCCTGGCCCACAGCTACTGACTGATTCCTATACAACTTCCCCACTTACTCTGATCAATGTAATCTGTAGAGCTTCCGGCTTTAAACTCACAGTGTTGCCTGTCATCCTAATGTTGTCCTCATGAATATTTTCAGTCAGAAAAGACAGAGGACTTGGTGTTTCTACAGTCAGCAGTTTCATCTTTCTCCCCACCCTGTTGAAATTAGTGTAGCCTCACTAGGGCCACTGAAGGAAAGTATAAATAGCAGGCTCTTGCACGTGGGCATTAAGGGGGGTGCTTTCCCTAGAAAGAAATACATGTGGTTAGTGTTGCAACTGCTGGATCCTGCTTCAGATCTTGCATGTCCTTGGCAATAAGGCTCTGTTAAAAAAATAAATAAATCTGATCCTCCAAATGGCTCCAGTCAAATGTTAAGACTTAGTAAGAGAGTCTCCAATACTGTTATGGGAGAGGTCCTTTTTACACACAGTCAAATAATTGAAGTAAATATTGACCTTATTCTTGTTAACAAAATAAATAGTAAGATGGCAGATTGTAAGGTACAATTGTGAAGTTAATGTGACAAACAAACCACTAAATGCTTGTTGAAGGATTTTTACCAAAGGGTATCCACCAATCATCTAGCCCTGTATGTACATGTAATGAGGTCTCAAAATCTGCAGTAATAAGGGAAGGTCCCCATGCACTCAAGGAACCCCAGCAGCAATAGCTGGCAAGGGAAATCTTGTGTGAGTTTTTGACTAGCACTAGGTGAATCCTTTGATCCCCCTGTTGAAGCCTGTACGGCAAAATTTGTAGGGGCTTTGTATGACAATAAAGCGATCACTTATCACCTGGCATCTTTTCTCCCTTTTTTGGTTTGCTGGCACTTTGCAGGGTGTAGCCCAGTTTTTCATTCTCTTTTGAAGTTTTGGACCACAGGTTCGGGTTCTTAAACCCAAGCACGTTTTGAGGTTTTTAAACCCAAATATGTTTCGAGGCTTGTTAGGGGGGGGGAAGGGGCTGAGTGAAGCTGGTATGCATTCACTCACAAAGCTCTAGGTTGAAACCTGAACTATCTGAAATTCCTGCACATGCTAACTTGCCATTTTAATCCATTCAAGAATTTGCCTTTCTCTGTCCCTGCCACGGAGTCTAGCCTGCAGGCTGCAGTACACCACAGCATCTGGCAGCCACATCCAAAGTCAGAGGGAGATTTTGATTTTCAAAGCTTTTGTTCTGGCAAACACATTTCTGTATAAGTGAGTATTCCCCCCCCCCCCAACCCTTCAATCTGTCCATTTCTCAGGGCAGGACAGAATAGCAAAGGAATTTACTAAGAGAATGACTCCAAACTCTGTCCTGTCAGATTGTCACTAACAAATATGAGTCTCTTTTTTCACAGCTGCTTCTCAGTTTCTGCTGCTTTCAGTGTGTTTGTGCTCCTCTACAAGATGTCATGTGGGGACCGGTCACTGACCTCACTTCTCTACCAGTCTTTCTTCCAGCCTGTTAATGTGCTTGAAACTCTCTTTTCCCCCCTATGTCTTGTTCATGTGCTGGGTTTTTAAGTCCCTTCCAAACAGCTTGACATTTTTCTTTGTCTGATTTATCACCACATGCAGATTGTTGTTGTTGTTTTCTTGTGCGTTCTTTGGGGGACACAAACCCCAGAATCCATTTGAAATGATGCTGTTATTATTGCCGTCAAGCAATATACTTTTTGGTTAAGCCTTGCTCATGTTTTGGTCTTTTGCTGTGGGGGGCTTAAGTGTACTAGCTGTGGTGTTTTTCAGGTATACCCCATCCTCTCGACAGGCCAGTCAGGAGGAAGGGAACGAGTGGCTGCGATCCCATTCCACAGGAGGACTACAAGACACTGGAAACCAGTCTCCCCTGGTGTCTCCTTCCGCCATGTCTTCATCTGCCACTGGGAAATACTTTTCAAACTTAGGTACAAAAAGAAATCATTTTTTTTTTTAATGTATAATTATAACTTTCTGTGACTGGGCCACACTGACGTAGTCTTGAATTACCATGATCTGCAAACTCATTCTGAATTGTTGTCAACTCATTATTTTCTGTACCATTGTGCCATCATTTTTCACATTTGTCTTGTGTCATAAAAAAATACAAGAACTAAAAACCAGTTGTCGTACCAGGCTGTCCCATTGACACATTCAAAATTGGGGTGGTTGTTCCCATCTTGGAAGAATTGACATAGGAAGATTACAGTACCGTGATGTAGTATGGATTTTATTGTGGTTTTAAATGTTGTTGTTCTGTTACATGTTTTATTGTATTTTATAACTCGGCTTTGCTGCATGTGAGCCGCCCTGAGCCTTTGGGAGGGCGGGATACAAATCAAAACATAAATAAATAAATATTGAGATTTCCCAGTAGTAGCATCCCTTTAACACTAGATTTCCAGCTTTCTCCCTTCCTCAGATACATATATGATGAACAGAACTTTGACTCTCAAAAGCTTATATCCTGGAAATCTTGTTGGCCTTTAAGGTGTTACTGGACTCAAATCTTGCTCTTCCATAGCAGAGACTAACACAGTTACGCACCTGAAATCTTCCCTTTAACATTTTCTTTCTTCCATCTCCATCCAGCTTAATTAATTACTTCCTGCTTTCTCCTTCAGGTAAACTATTCTCTCTAGGCATTCACAAATCAGTTTAAATTATTAATTGTTCCACTGGGATAGAGGAGTTAAGTGTTTTTGTTCAAAACTGTGATTGTTGCTGTGCTGTTGCAATCATAATATTTTTAAAATTATGAACAATGTCTTTGGCTTGCTACAAAGTAAGAAAGTCAGCGCTTAAGCCAAAGGAACATGAGGTGATAATTAATAGTTTATTCATGGGTGCAGTAAGAAACCTAGATAGCTGGGAGAGAACAGAAAGTACCGTAATTAAATAAAAAACAAAAGGAAAGGAAAGGTAAAATGCATGGAAAAGTGGCATTTCTTCTGAACTTGATTTACTTTCCAGTAGACATGTAGTTGGGGTTCCCAATTCCATGTTGGAAAAATAACAGATCTCCCTCCTGTTTTGGCTGTAGTATACCACTAGATCAATATAACCAGGCTTATGAGTGCCAACTAAATAGGGGCACCACCCAGATCAAGATTTCTTTAGTATGGATTAGTATAATCGTCAGTTTATTTTAATTAAATAATAACTATTATCTTGTGGTAGAATATTGTAATATCTAGTTAATTTAAGATACTAAAAAGTAAACAATACATTTTACTGTAGTTATGCATAAGTTAAGGATATACGAAGAGCTTGTGCTTAACTTGGTTATGTGGTCTTCTGTTAAGTTTTGAGATGGCCTTCCGGTTTTAAATTTGGTCCGGTTTTAAACTTGGTCTTCATTTAAGTTTTAAATTTAAATTTAACAGATTGCCCCTTTTCTTAGTAGAAAAACCCCACATAGCTTGTCAGACTGGCTTTAGGATCAGGCAGGAGACTACGTCGATACCGGGTAAATTGGTGAAAACCATTATTAAGGAAAGAATTAGTAGGCACATAGATGAACAAAACCTATTGAGGCAGACTCAGCACGGTTTCTGTAAGGGAAGATCTTGTCTCACTAACCTGTTAGTGTTCTTTGAGGGGGTGAACAAACATGTGGACAAGGGGGATCCAATAGATATTATTTACCTTGACTTCCAGAAAGCTTTTGATAAAGTTCCTCATCAAAGGCTCCTAAGCAAGCTCAAAAATCATGGGATAAAAGGACAAGTCCTTTTATGGATCAAAAACTGGCTAATTAATAGAAAACAGAGAGTGAGTATAAATGGGCAGTTCTCCCAGTGGAGGGGGGTAAGCAGTGGGGTACCACAGGGATCAGTACTTGGTCCACTGCTTTTTAACTTGTTCATTAATGATTTGGAGATGGGAGTAAGCAGTGAAGTGGCTAAATTTGCGGATGATACAAAGTTGTTCAAGGTGGTGAAAACCAGTGAGGATTGTGAGGCACTCCAAAGGGATCTGTCAAGGATGGGCGAGTGGGCGTCAACATGGCAAATGGGGTTCAATGTGGCCAAGTGCAAGGTGATGCACATTGGAGCCAAAAATCCTAAATATAAATACACATTGATGGGGTCTGAACTGGCAGAGACAGATCAAGAGAGAGATCTTGGAGTTGTAGTAGATAACTCACTGAAAATGTCGAGACAGTGTGTGACTGCAATAAAGAAGGCCAATGCTATGCTGGGGATTATTAGGAAGGGTATTGAAAACAGATCAGCCAATATAATAATGCCCCTATATAAATCAATGGTGAGACCTCATTTGGAATACTGTGTGCAGTTCTGGGCACCACACCTTAAAAAGGATATTATAGCTTTGGAAAAAGTGCAGAAAAGGGCAACTCGAATGATAAAAGGGTTGGAACACTTTCCCTATGAGGAAAGGTTAAAGCGCTTAGGGCTCTTTAGCTTGGAGAAAAGACGACTGAGGGGTGACATGATCGAGGTTTATAAGATTATGCATGGGAAAGAGCAGGTAGAGAAAGAGGTACTTTTCTCCCTTTCTCACAATACAAGAACCCGTGGGCACTCCATGAAATTGCTGAGCGGTCGGGTTAGAACGGATAAAAGGAAGTACTTCTTCACCCAAAGAGTGATTAACACATGGAATTCACTGCCACAGGAAGTGGTGGGTGCTACAAGCATGGACGGCTTCAAAAGGGAATTAGATAAGCATATGGAGCAGAGGTCCATCAGTGGCTATTAGCCACAAGGTATAGCTAGGGGCTCTGGGGCAAGTGATGCTCTGTCTTCTTGGTGCTTGGGGGGGGGGTCAACAGTGGGAGGGCTTCTAATGTCCTGGCCCCACTGCTGGACCTTCTGATGGCACTGGTATTTCTGGCCACTGTGTGACACAGAGTGTTGGACTGGATGGGCCTTTGGCCTGATCCAACATTGGTGTCTCTTATGTTCTTATGTTCTTACGGTGGAAATCCTAACCACCAGGGCTGGCATCAGGGACTGGAAGTCCTGGGCAGCTGCTGATATCACATGGCCTTAAGAGGGACCCACCAGAGTGAGGCAGCAGTGACCGAGATTTGCCCTCTTTCTCTGGATGCTGAAACTGGTACGTCTGGAGGACTAGGCCTACCCACACAAAAGTGTCTCCTCCCCCCCCTTTCTCCTGACAGACAGAGACAGGTAGCTGCTTGTTTGTTCAGAAGGCTGAATCAGAAGCAATAGTGGCAATCTCTATCAGCCTGTATTCACAGATGAATGGGTAGATGTTTGTAAGCTTAACTAAAGTATCTAAAGTATCTCCATCCACAAACTTCTAAATTAATTATCAACATATATAATAATATTGGAATCATTAAGCATCTTCTAGGAATGATCTACTGTTAATAAATACATATAATCCAAATTGCCATGGTAACAGGGTCACAAAAATAAAGCAAACATTCCCCTAAATGAGTTTGTCTTAATCAAAAATGTTTGTCATTCTGCCACAGTATGTTTTTTTCCCATGGAGTGAAGTGAAAGACAATGGGTCAAATGCTACATTTTATATTTTGCAGTGAGTCCAACCAGTTTGTCCCAGTTTAAACTTCCTGGGCCCACTATGATGAGATCAAACAGCATTCGTGCTCAATTCTTCGTTTGATCTCTATGATGATTCCCAGCTATGTGGTAGTGCCACATCCTTAGAGGACAGGCCTCGTGCCATTAGTCACTCTGGTTCCTTCAGAGATAGCATGGAAGAAGGTAAGTTGAATTAGATTTAATACCCTGCCGTTTATACCTTGCCTTTTTCCCCGAGAGAAGGCCAAAGCTGCTGTCTTGGACTGTGGAGTGTTGAAGACCTGAGTTCAAAACCCTGCTCAGTAGTAAACCTCACTCAGTGACCTGGAGGTGGTCACACTAGGGTTGCTAGCTCCAGGCTGGGAAATACCTGGAGGTTTTGGGGGTGGAGCCTGTGGCGAGCGGGGTTTGGGGCATAAGGCCATAGAATCCACCTTCCAAAGCATCCATTTTCTCCAGATGAAGTGATCTCTGTCACCTGGAGATCAGTTGTAACAGCGGGAGATCTCCAGCCACCACCTGGCAACCCTAGGTCAGACCCTGGGGATAGAATGGAATAATCTCTATGTAGCTGATGGCCATAATTGAAGCTGTGGGATTCAAATGAGATAAACAATAATAATAAGTAGAATTAAGTTTGCATGAGTATCTGAAGATTTAGGTACAAAGGTGTTTTTAAACTTGATGTGCAGCCCTGTGTGATGCCATGTGGCAACTCTCCCACAAAATGGTCATTCCAGAGGAAAGGAAAGGAAAACACCTTAACAGATCTTCATTTCTGTCTGCAAGCCCATAATGGCTTTTGTTTGCCCTTCCATAAGCTCAGCTTTCTTAAAAATGAAGAAGAGATGGAAATGTGTATTTCCATTTTTGTGTGTTTCTTAAAAATGAAGGCAGCTGAAATAGGGTGTAATTTATTCCGTTAATTTAATTGCTGCAGTAACATGAATACAATAGTAGAGCCTCTCTGCTAACATGAGTATCCGAATGGACATCCTTTTCATTAAGCTCCAACAACTGCACATATGCTTTACTAACTTACTACAGCTGAGACAACTCTTCACAACTGTTTATCTTTCTGCCAGGCATGATGGTCCAGGCCACCCTGGCTATTCTGTTTCTGAAGCTCTCTCAGGTTTTCACTTTCATCAGCCTGTCGGGGATCCTGGCTACTTGCCTGGTTAAGCTCTCCCACACTGCCTGGCTTTGCACACAACTTTTCTTAACTGTTTTTCTGTCTAGTTCTGGCAGCAGTCCAAGCTGAACAGGCCCATATTCTGGCACTTGCAGTAGTCCCAGCTGATTATATCATTTAATGTTTCAAGCTGAGCTAGCCTTGGCCAGCCGTCCTCAGCTAGGGATACCAAAATTGTGAAAGTATGGAAATAATATAGAGCTGCTATGGCTGAACAGTGGGGTACAATGGAGCTGTACTGAAATAACAGATCATTCTGAGATACAATACTTTTTCCTTGAAATAAAGAAATAGAACAATGCTACTGTGTTGGTCTGAGAGAATCAGTATCTCCTTGACAAGCTTGCTGGAAGAGCGACGAATCTGTTCTATTATGTTTTTCTGGAATGGTGCTGCGGATGTCTGGATGTAGATGAGGGAGCATCAGATTCACATCCCTGCTGTACTATGAATCTTACTGGCTGGTCTTTGGGAAGTCACTGTCATTCTCATGGAGATGTTGCTAGAACAAATTAAACAGAAATTGAAAACCACCTACATATGCTGAAAAGCTATATAAATCCTTTAAAGTGAAAATAACTATTATAGGGCATGAATAAATGTCAATTACTTGATTTTTCAATGTTGACAGTAGGTTTCTCAATAAATCCCCCCTCCAGTTTTTAAAACAATAGAGGTCATGAAAGTAATCCTTAACAGCACCAGGCAAATGTATTTTTCCAACTGTCATTTATTTACTGTACTGATAGACCACCTGACAGTAGTAACAGCCTTCCAGCCATCTTTTACCAATCAATAGTAAATGATTTGTAGTGTGCTAAAAGCAATGTAAAATCCAGTCTTGTCTTTGATACTGTTTAACCTGAAGAGATGATTCAGTGAAATGTCTATGTGCTCTGTTAAATAGGAATAGTGATGCAACCAAGTTGTAGGACTTCACCGTTTTGATTATAATATAGGTGGAGCATATGAATTATTTTGACTTGCAGGCCAAAATCATGTTAGATAATCCATTCCACCAAATAGGTGAATTTCAGTAGTACATTTGACATTAGTATTGGCATCCCTGTCTCAGGGGGTTGTGACTAAAATTAAGGTATTTTTAAAAATCTAATACTGAATCTGCTGGCTGACCATTCCTTTGTTATGTTGATGACCCAGAAGTAGATTTTTTTTTCATTGAGTGTTAATTGTTAGAAGATAATTCCCTCATAGTTTTGTTGAGCATGAAAACTTGCAGAAGGTGACATTTTCAAGCTATGGAAGGGATTAGGTTTAGGCATATTATGCACGGGTATTTCCCCTTGCTTTCACCATTCATATCCATCAGGTTTTCTTTGTCCTGCATTGATTCTCCTCCCTTCAGTGCTCAGTTAACTTTCTGGTTGCTGTTTCCCCAGGTTTTCTAAGGGTGCTTTTGTGCTGATTTTTCCTTTGTTTCGCTTCCAAGCATACAGATTTTCTTGGAGTTTCCCACCACCCTTTTGCTGCCCCTCCAAGGTCATTCCCCCGCCCACTCTGCACCTTCAGCCATCTTCCCTCCTTCATCGGTGTACAAGCTCAATTTCCCCCTTATTTTAAATTTTATTTTGACAAGCAGCGTGAGTCTAGCGATATGAGACTATTGCTAGCCTCAAATCGCTGAATAAAAATAGTAAAACAATGGGGGAAAGTTTAAAAGGAGCTGTGTGAGGTTTAGTTCCCTGCTGGTATTGACTTGAAAGGGGGGATCGGAGAGGAGGCAAATGCAGCATCTCTAGTGCAAAAAAAAAAAGATTACAGTGCTGCATACAAAATTGACATGAGATGTAAAGAGAGAGAGAGACACTGGGATGGGAAGCCTAAAGCTTTGAAAACATTTTCCCCTTTAATGTTTCAGTGAACAAAGTTTTGGGGGAACCATTTTGGCAGTCTCTGGAAGCCTAACATTAAAATGGTGGCTGACCCACCATGGGCCTTCTGCGAACCACCAAACTTAAGAATTCCTTGGGATCCATCCATTTGGATGACAGAATGCAATATGCACAGGACAGGCTTTAAAAAACTGCAAAGATCATGACCAGTGTGCAGGATTAAATTAGAGAATCACAAAGAGAAAACCATGAAAATTTGCAAGAAGGACAGAAAATTACCATTACTATGCAGCTGCACTAGGACATAGGCGAAAATACCCCCCCCAAAAAAATTTCAATTTACTGGCACAAAACTAAAAAAGCTCTCCAGAGCTTCTGCTAGAGGACTTCTCCCTTATACAAATTACAGCCCTGTGCAACCCATGATGGAGTTCCAGCCAACTTTGCACAGGTGTGCGTGCACACACACACACGTGTTGCCAACTATCACAGCTAGCAATGCCAGTGTCAGTGGGTTCTACCATGCATTCTGTACACTCAGTATGTTCCCCGAATTATGAGATCGTGTGACTCTTTCTCATTTTTCACAGCGGATGATAACACAGCAGAGAATCCTCTAGTTCTCCACAATATGGAAAATGGGGCTTTGGAGCTGCTTGTCAGTTTAAAAAAAAAGTCTTGTCAATTTCAACGTTGTGTTTCCCCCTTTGCCTGCATTCCTTTCTGTTCCCTTTCATTCAACAAACTAACACTAAAATGCATGCACAAAACCTGAACCACCAGGTTTTAAATGGAAGGCACTTGCTGGACGCTACTGTGCAGCTGCAATAGGGCAATTGCATAATTTTATTTAAAAAAACTTTGAACACACACACCCCACATGTCACAAGTGACGTTCCATCCTGATTTAGAAAAGTGCAGGGTTTTTTTAAATTGTAACTGCAGAATAAATACACTGGAGGGAAAAGAATGGTGTGTAAGGCAGGCACAGAATCTGATGTCAAGATTAAAGGCTTACTATTCTGAAAATCTGTAATAAGATGTGGATGCGTACTGGGCTTTCATTTGGAAGAGACAAAAAGAAAAAAGAAACAGAGACAGAACGTTGAGAGTTGTGTTTTCCTTGTATAATTGTAAATGCACCAAATACAATGAAAATACCATAGGGCTCCAATGCACTCCAAAGGAAACCCAACTAGGGTTGCCTGGCCTTGAGAGCGGGGCGGGAAAGGCATGACATCACTTCTGGGAAAACCGTGGAAGTGATATTACATTTCTCTAGAAGTAGTTGGAAAGTTTGTGGTAAAACCATAGATTTTTGACAACTCCTAGAGAGGACTGATGTCACCTCTAAGGAAAACCTAAAAGTGACATCACAGCTTAGGTCCAAAGGCCATTTTTTATTTTCTTTTTCTCCCACCACTGCTCAGAAACAGGAGCTGGACTCAGGGTATTCTCTGCTGCTGCTTAGGGAATGGAAATACTAAACCTAACCCATGTCCACAGAACATCAAAGACCAATTACTTTCCAGGTACTGGAAACTGAGCTTCTAAAAGTTGAGTTGACTGAGATGACCCAAACTCTTTTGGATAAGGGAACAAATTGTACCAACAAACTGTACCAATTTATTGTGGAAATGTTAATTTGTAATTGAGAAGTCAAACAGTTGTAAAATGGCTGTAAAAGGAAGGACTGGGCATGGAAAATATTTCACAGAACTTAGGAGAGGAGCATATGGACTTCATGAACTTAGAGTAAACCAGTATGTACATGCTGGTGCGTCCAAAATAAGTAAGTTATTAGAAATACAGCTTTTGGGTATAGCAGATATTGTTGACTTGAGTCTAAATGAGGATGGTAACCTGCTCTTTAATCTCATGTATACAAGTTGAGCTATCTTTTAAGTTACCGGAGTATCCCGGTAACAGCAAAATAGAAGCACCTATCTTATGATAGCCAATTTGATTTAATTTAAATGTCATGCTAGACTGGGGAGACCCAAGTTAAAAACCCCACTCTACATGTAAGCATGTAAAGACGGCTCTACATGCTTAGATGAGAGAATGCCTGCAAAGTGAGGCCACATGTTCATCATGAATAAGGACAAATAAGGCAGTTTTGAGACATTGTTCTGAGGGAGTTCCTGTTGCTGCAAAATAAAGCAGTTTTGGAGGCACTACTTGCTGGGAGAACCCATCGATGTGCCGTCCTGATGAAGGGATCGATAACCCATTAATATCTAGAGAGTGAGTCGACTGCAGTTCATCATTTTGTGTTTGCCTCAAGTCTTAAAGACTGGATGTATTTGCTTCATGGACATTTCCCCCCCCCAGAATGGAATTGAGAAGCCTTTTCTCCACCTAGAACAGTGAAGTCATTCTTGGGAATGGTTTGTTCCCTTCAGGTTCTTTACTTGTCTGTGTAACTATTTTATTGTATTGGTCTGAATTGAAATGAAATAATAAGAGTTGCTTTGGAATTGTAATACTGTGGAGCTTTTTTGATGTTAAGTTTCATATGAAGGTCACTGGCAGCACAAGTCTAAAAAAAGCTGCACCATTGATGTTAGTGGACCTAGAAGGGTATATCTTCGTATATGATTGTACTGTGAATTACTTTAGGTCAGTTGTTCTCTTTCAGCCTAGCCTCCCTCACAGGCACTGAGTGCACTGTCCAGATCCTTGGGATTAGGGATTAAAATGTAATAAGTAAATTGATAATATGGTGAGAAAGACACACACGACTTCTAATAATGATATTAAGGTTGCCAGGTCCCCCAGGAGGGGCAGGGGGTTGCCCAATCGACAGGCCCATTACCCGCCAGTCTGGATCCGGCCGCCAGGGGGAACCCCACCCCCAAAGTTCCAGGCTCACGGTGATGTGCCCGGCGTGATGACGTCACCTAGAGGTGACGTCATTGTGCCGGGCACATTGCGGGGGGTGCTCTATTATTCGAGGGAAAACTCTTATGTTTCCCCCTCAAATGATAGTGACCCCGCCCCAACGTGCCCAATGTGATGATGTCACTTCCAGGTGATTTCATTGTGGTGCATGCACAAAGCACATGCGCCAAGCATCTCCCAGAGAGGGGCCAGGAGTCGGACCTCCCCGCCACAACAACAGTAAGACCTGGCAACCCTAAATGATATAAGTTCTGGAATGCATTTTAGAAGCCCTATATTTGCCAAAAGATGGCATTCAGGTATCATTTGGTGCAAAGCTAAGCATATGATAGCTGTTTACTAGCAATAAATCAGTGCATTGTGAAAATCTCTCTAGACAAATATTATTCAGTACAGAAAAATCATTTTAAGTCCTACACGGATAACTCTTATGTGTTTCTAAATCAATAGTGTCTATAATCACTCCTCTTTGTAGAAGATTATTCTCATTTTCTCATTTTAAAAGACATAGTTATTGTCCTTGACAGGGAATAACTGACTCACCAATGTATTGTAATAACTTTATTTGCCTCTCTCTCTCTCTTCTTTTTTTAGTACATGGGTCCTCATTATCGCTAGTTTCCAGCACCTCTTCTCTTTACTCCACAGTAAGTGTTGAATGTGTATAAGAGATGATGACATGATACTTGTATATCCCACAGAAATCTAGTCGCCTTTTCAAAAAATAGTCCAGGAAACAGATTAAAGCTGTACAAAAATTGTTCCCTGAAAAAATGGCTGTTTGACGGTAACATTTTCTATGTCTTTTTCAAAATACAATCCACAGTGGCCTACTACAGTTGAATTTAGCTGTCTGTAAAATCTTTTGTGTTTTCCCTCGAAGGCTGAAATGAACAAAACCTACTCAAGGGGCAATTCTTCTTGCTTGCAGTTCAGAGCCGTTGTGCTTTGCTGTGTTGCCTCGTTTTCTCATCTCCTGCATTTAGACACTTTCAGAGCTAGTAGAAGTAATTGGCCACTTGGTGGATTGCTTTTTTATTTTTTTTCTCTGTTGATAGAGACTTGCTGATGTGTGAGAGATTACTCTCAAATTGCAGCACTGCTTTGGAGGCACAGTTTGGTCTAAAAATGATCTTTGGGAAGACAGGCAGTACCAAATGCCTTTTAGAGATTATTAACTTTAATATGAAATATTAGGCAGATTTTTTTTGCAGAATACAGAGGAGGAGATTTTTAAAAAAAAAAAATTTAGGAAATAAAATTATGCACTTGAAAAACCTAGGTATGGCAATGATCAAAACCTAGTAAGCCATCCAATATTTTGATTAAATGTTGGTAGAATATGTAATACTATAAACTTACTATGCAAAATTACATTTTGTGAAAAATTGGTTTTCATTGCTGAGGTTTGGCATGGGGCAGGTTGCAGCTTTTCAGAGTATGCAAGTCTTTACTTATCGGTCCAGAATCATAATAAGGTAATATTCACATATTATGTTAACTGCAGCTATTTCTGTTAAGCAATGCTTAAAATGTACATAACTAAAAAAATCTGTTTGTGCAATGTAGTACAACATATTTTGGCACTAAATTCAGTTTTACTTGATACATAATTTGGAGCTTTCTGAGCAGAGAAACCTGGTTATTCTATGAGTATGCCATAGTTCAGGGGTATTGAACTCATTTGTTATGAGGGCCAAATCTGACATAAATGAGACCTTGTTGGGCCAGACCATGTGTGTCATAAAATGTAATGCCAGGAAGTAGAGGTATAAACTTTAGAAAGGACACAAACACAAAGATTTAACTTTAAATAAAACATGCATAAAACACTACCACTCTTGCAATAGTTTGTTTATTTAACAGTCTGATAACTGACACCTCTTGCTCTGGATTATTGCATCAAAATGTCTGTGCTGTAGCAATTGTGAGTATACTGTTCAGGTGTGTATCAGTAAGCTGCAAACCTACTTTTGATTTAGTAACATTCATCACAGAAATCTCATGTTCAGTGTTCTGAGCCTAGGACCCAGGGGAAAACATGAAATGGCTGGGCCTTGTGAGCTTTTGTACATAAGTTGCTTCGTGTGCTGCTCAAGAACATGAGAAGGCATCCTGACACAGACTGAAGGCTATGTGTTCATAGTTTGGTGTAGTGGTTAAGTGCGCGGACTCTAATCTGGGAGAACCGGGTTTGATTTCCCACTCCTCCACTTGCACCTGGGTAAGCCATAGTTCTGGAACATCTGTTCTTGAAAAAGAGCAGTTTCTGTCAGAGCTCTCTCAGCCCCACCGACCTCACAGAGTATCTGTTGTGGGGAGGGGAAGGGAAAGGAGTTTGTAAGCCACTCTGAGACTCTTTTGGGTAGTGAAGAGTGGGGTATAAATCCAGTTTTCTTCTCCTCCTCTTCTTCCTCTTCCTCCTCTTCTTCTTCATAACTATAGTCTTCCCAGAAAAATAACTGCAACTCTTATGAGGCAGTGCAAAAATAGAGAGACAGCCATGTATAGTGGTCAGTATCAGCCTGCTATCTAGGAAGCCTAGGTTCAGAATCCCCAGCTTACAAAGGGAATGTTCTGGGTAAATTTGGTCTGAACAAACACTCTCAGCCTAATCCACCTCACTGGCTTGTTGTTATTTCTCATCTAAATAGTTCACATGGCTTTTCTACTGAGAAAGACTGGATCATGAAGTCATGAATACAGTGATAAAGGGGAGGCGAACCCAGTTGCACCCAGGAGAGCCCTGCCATAAGGAGCCCAACAAAACACACACTGTAGCAAGGCACACAAAAGCTTTTACCTTGAATCAAACTTTGTTGGTCATAAAGGTGCTTTGTATTTCTACCATGCAATTGAGGCAGCTAGGCAAAGCAAGGCAGGAGGAAGGGGAAGAGCCTCAGCTGATGGAGGGGATGAAAGGCTTCCCTTTGTCTCCTATGCGATTGAGGCAGCCTGGCCAGGAAGCAAGCTCTGTGTTCCCTTCCTCCCACTGGGAGGAGGAGGAGAGGAGCCTCAGCTGATGGAGGGAACAGAAGCTTGCCTATCCATCTCTCCTGTGTGATTGAGAGAGTCTGGTAAAACAAGCTGCGATGCAGCAGCAGCAGCAGCAGAACTGGAGAAAGAAGCAGGAGACAGCCAGTTTCTTACAAGCCAGATAGAAGCCCTCCGAGGGCCAAATCTGGCCCATTGGCTGCATGTTTGACACCCCTGCCATAGTTTCTATAATTCAGATTCTGATGTCAACTTCTAACTCAATTGAACTGGCAGATGGGAAAATATAGGTTTTAAAATATAAGAGAAAACTTCCAAAATTCATTTGATTCATGCCCCTTGATTAATATCCCTATTTCAGTAATGTATAGGCATTAACATAAAGGTAAAGGTTCCCTTGCTCGAAAGCCAGTCGAGTCCGACTCTAGGGTTGCAGTGCTCATCTCCGTTTCGAAGCCAAAGAGCCAGCGCTGTCCGAAGACGTTTCCGTGGTCATGTGGCCGGCATGACTAAACACCAAGGCGCACGGAATGCTGTTACCTTCCCACCAAAGTGGTACCTATTTATCTACTTGCAATTTCTTGCTTTCAAACTGCTAGGTTGGCAGGAGCTGGAAATAGAGACAGGAGCTCACTCCGTCTTGTGGCACCCGGGTCTCGAACTGCTGAACTACTGACCTTCCACAGCCTGCAGTTCCGCGTCTTAACCACTTGAGCCACCGCAGCTCCAGGCATTAACATAGCAATATCTATATATCTAATTCTCAACAGTCCCCTCTGTGTGCGGATACTTATTTCCGCAGATAGGGGGTACGCTTTCCCCAACAGATTTTTTACAGTTTTCTACTAAAACTACAAACTAAAAAAATAAACTGAAGGAGGCTTGAATTCCCCCCTCCCCATACCTTTTGAAATGGTCACTGCAGGGATCTATTCCAGGCCGCACAGCACTGACAGTGTGAGATAGACTGGCTGATAGCCGGGGTTGGGGGGAGGAAGCAAAAGCAGAACTGGAGTTCAGATTAGGGAGGATTCCTCCTGCAGTATAAATGGCTAAATAGCAGGATGGTGGAGACAGGCCTGGGACTAGGATTGCCTGCTCCAGGTTGGGAAATTCCTGGATATTCTGTGGTGAAGTCTGAGGAGTACAGAGTTTGGGGAAGGGAGAGACCTCAGCTGATTATAATTCCACAAAATCCACCCCTGCTCTCCACTCATGATCTTTGTCGTCTGTAGTTCAGTTTTCATTCTGGGGAATCTCCAGGTCCCAGCTGGAGGCTGGCAACCCTAGGCCTAGCAGCACCCTATGAGTGACTTACCACCTGACTTGCATGATTCAACTATGCCTGGCCCCTTGCTCCTATTCAACAACAGTCGCTGTATGAAAGTCAGCATAGTATAATGGTCAGAGCTTCAGAGTAGAGTTTGTGAGACCCAGGTTCAGATCCACATCTTGCTGTGGAAGTTCACTGGGTGATTTTGGACAAGCCACATACTTTTAGCCTTACCTACCTCACAGGGTTGTTGTGTGGATAAAAAGGAGGAGAGAATAATGTAAACTGCTTTAGTCTCCACTGTGGAGAAAAACCATAATTTTCCTCAATAGAAGTTTCAGGAGGAATGGAGATGGAAAGCTAAAGACAGAGGGGCAGATAAAAGTAGGTTGGCTGTTGGGTGGGAAGGAGATAGGAATGCCAACTCCAGGTTAGGAAATTCCTGGATGTTTGAGGGGTGGAGCCTGGGGGTGGTGGGGATTAAGATGGGGAGGGATTCTACCCTCCAAAGCAGTCATTTCCTTCAGGGGTACTAATGTTGCCAACCTCCAGGTGAGGGCTGGAGATCTCCTGGAATTACAACTGATCTCCTAATGACAGAGATCAGTTTCCCCGGAGAAAATGGCTGCTTTGAAGGCTGGAGTTTATGGCATTATATTTCCAAACTCAAACATCATTCTCTCAAAGCTCCACCCCCCCATCTCCAGGAATTTCCCAACATGGAGCTGGCAACTCTAAGAGAAACTGATCTCTGTATTTGGGCAATCCATTGTGATTCTTGGAGAGCAGCTGCTGCCACTGCCGCTGTAGCAGGGGGAGGAAGTAGGTGGGAGGCCAGGAGAGTGACAGGGGCAGAAAGAGTGATGGGGAGGAGAAAGGAAGTGACAGGCATGGAGGGGAGAGAGAGAGAGAAAGAAAAGGAGTGGCAGAAAGGAGAAAGTGTGAGACAAGTAGGGGGAGAGGGGAAGAAGCAGAGGTGGGGGAATGGGATAGCTGCTCTGACAAGTTTCTTGTGGGTTCCCACTTGTCTATGTAGCTAATTCTCAACAGTTCCCTCCGCATGCGATACTTATTTCCACAAACAGAGGGCACTCTCTCCCCCAACAGGTTTTTCTACAGACTCAGGGGGCTCCGTGGGTCTACATAAAAATCCAAAAAGTTTGCAGCAGCCTTTTGAAATGGCTGCTGCAGGGATCTACTCCAGACTCTGCCACATCGGCAGTGAGAGATAGATTGGCTTATAGCCTGGGGGGGGGGAGCAAAAGCAGGACTGGAGCTGGGATTGGGGAGGATTCCTCCTGCAGTATGAATGGTTAAATAATCTGAGCTTTTCACCCCTACCTCTTTTGCTGCAGGCTCCACTCTCCTCTTAAAACTTTTTTTTTTGGGGGGAGGCTTCTAACTGGTTCTGTCAGTAAAAGGCAGGGGAGGGGGGCAGAGCCCTTTCCAGGCCTATTTTGGCCTTTCAGGGAGGATTCTTAGGGCCAGGCCTAACAAGGATTGCCAGTGCTAGCCTGGGAAATTCCGAGAGATTTTAGGGTGGAGTCTAAGGAAGGCTGGGTTTGGGGAAGGGCCTCATCTGGATATAATGCCACGAAGTCCAGCCTCCAAAGCAGCCATTTTCTCCAGGAAGATAGATCTCTGCTATATAGAGTTTAGTCCTGGGGGAATCTCCATGTTCTACCTGGAAGTTGGCAACCCTAGGCCTGGCAGCACCCTCTGGATGTCTTGATACCACCTGAGTTGCATGACTCAACCAGGCCTGGCTGCTTGCTACTGTTCAACAGCAGCCAGTGTGGTGCAGCAGTTAGAGCTTCAAAGTAAGACCCAGGTTCAGATCCCCATCTTGTGGTGGAAAATGGACCAGTCACATACTTTCAGCCTAACGAACCTCACAGGGTTGTTGTGCAGATAAAAAGGAGGAAAGAATAATGTAAGCTGCTTTAGTTCCTACTGTGGAGAAAGATTGTAATTTTCCTAGGTAGAGGCTGTGGGGGAGGAGGGTGGAGATGGAAAGCTGAAGATAGACAGATAAACGTAGGTTGGCTGTTGGGTGGGAAGGAAATAGGGTTGCCAACTCCAGGTTGGGAAATACCTGGACATTTGAGGGGTGGCGCCTGGTGAGGGTGGGATCTGAGGAGGAGAGACTTCAGATCCGTGTAATGCCATAGGTTCCACTCTCCAAAGCAGTGATTTCCTCCAGGGGAACTAATGTTGCCAGAATCCAGGTGAGGGCTGGAGATCACCCAGAATTACAACTTCCATCCAGGTGACAGAGATCCATTCCCCCGGATAAAGTGGCTTCTTTGGAGGGTTGAGTCTATGGCATTATACCCTGTTGAGGCTGCTTCCCTCCCCAAGCCTCACTGTCCCAAAGCTCCACCCCCAAATCTCCAGGAATTTCCCAACCTGGAGCTGGCAGCCCTAAAATGAATTGATCTTTGTAGCTGGGAGATTCGTTGTGATTCCCAGACAGCTGCCACTGTTGCTCTGGGGGGAGAGGAAGCAGAAAAACAAAGAAGATAATGAGGGGGCAAAGAGAGGAAATAACATGCATGGAGGAGAGACAGAGTAAGAAAAGGGGTGCAGAAGGGAGAAAGAGTGTGAGAGAGCTAGGAGTAGAGGGGAGAAAGCAATGGTGTGAGGAATGGGATAACCACCCTGCAAGTTTCTTGCAGGTCCCCACTTGTGGTATACTAATGTAAATCCTGTCTTTCAAGATATCAGTGTCTTTCAAGTGTTGACTGAATCACACACAGAATCAGGTAATGACAACTTTTTTGGCAAATAGGCCAAGTGTTAACTAATTATCCACATCATCATCATACTAAATTAGCAGCTGAGAAGAGACCTTTTAGAGACTTTGGTACTTGACCCCACACTGTCCTCCTTTCTAGCCGCTTGACAACACTTCTTGTTCAGTTTATGAGTCTCTAGCTGTGATAATGGAAGCTTGAGAGCTTTTTTGTTAAGAGCAAGGAAAGCCTTAGATTATAAATCTGTAGAGTGAAGGACATAATCCTTGATCAGATTTTCCCCTGCTGGTTCTTGTGAACACCTAGGAGTAAAACTCATATAATTGTGTCGCTATTAATCAAGAAATGGTACACAAGTGGAAACATCTCATCCAAGATTTGATTTCAGCAACAGGCAAGTTGACCATAAAGAACAAAGTTTCAGTGTTTTACGATCTTATGCATTACCACACTTCTTTCAAATATGTAGTTTATGGTCACTTTACTTGTCCTTAGGTTACCTTTTAAAAGCCAAGTGAAGTGGCAAGATGCCCACTAAAATTCAGGTATATGATTCCATCCCATATACCATTGTCTTCCCTGACCCTGATCATACTACCTGATTAATAGGTACAGGAGACTTGTTTCTTTTGTTGCAGTGGTGCATCTGACAGCCTGTCACCCCTCTTGTCTACAATTATGAAGTAACAAGGACTCAAAGGAGAAGGGAAATCCCATTCCCTACCCAATGGATTGCCTCCCCATACTGGCTCTTCCCGCTCTTGCCCCTGTCGTCCCCCACATTCCTTTGACTCTACTTCCTCCTCCCCCGACTTCAGTTCCATTCCTTTCTTCCTTCCCTGCTGGTTCTAACTTCCCTTCATTCTTTTTCCATCCTGGATTTCACCAGCTGCCATTTTCCTCCGAGCATTCTTCCCACCCCATAGTCTGTGCCTCTGCTATCCCTAATTCCAATGTGCCCCATTCCCCATGGAAGCTAGGCAACAGTTTGTAATATTTTGTTTCTCCAATGATGTCTACACATGTACAATGTTGTGTGGGTACCTCCATTGCTTTTAAACATATAGATTATAGTCCTATATGATGCTAACCTCCATAAAAGTGCTGGCTTTACTTCTTGCTTTTATTGTTCCCCCCTGCTATTATTGAGTGCAATCATATTTGAGAGGAAGTAGTATTCACCTGACTCTGTACACTGGCTGTGTCTGTGATTCTGTGCTAAGATTTTGGTGCAAAGGAATTGTGCATTTTTGACAATGATGGATAACAGTGGTTGTATCAATGCTTTTAAATAGAACAAAAAAATTGCAGGGATTAAGGCATCATGGTATGCTATTATAGTATTACCTTTGTAATTTATACTTGGGAAAAATACTCGGGAAGTTTTTATCACTTGTCTATGTCTTTACTACAGTTATGACATAACGAAAATATGTTCTAAAATATAAACTGCTATTTTAGTTTTCCTAATTATATACAACTGAGTTGTATTTTTAATTAAAGCAATGCTTTCTTTGTCCCATTCCACCCACCCCGCAGGCTGAAGAAAAAGCACATTCAGAGGTAAACATTTTAATATATATTATGATTTTCTATAGAATGTGTTACACTACCAAGAACTATTTCCCCACAATTACTATAAGAAATCTTGTTCTTCAGTAATTAGTTAAGAGAAATATTCAGCTGCAGCACAGAAAATGGTAGCTAAAGGGATGCTGTTGAAAACGTATTGCCCCAGCACTCCCTGAATAAAGACACAAGGCAGCTGTATGTGTTCAGCTATTTTTATTTATTTAAATGGCTGACCAACATCACTTATTACTATAAGTGAATTATCCCAAGGACAGTGTGCACTAGGCAGCCAACCATGGTTGCTTTTTATGGACAGGTCCACCCTGGCTCCAAACTTGGCCAGTGCTTCCATCAGCCTTGTTTATCCACACCTGCACCTAATATGCCAAGAAGTAAACAGCCTCATCCCCTTCCCTTCATGTGCCACAAGGCACCACTTTGGAATGATGCTGCTCAGCTCCAGGGGCACTCCTTCCCAGTGCACTCACCCATAAGGCATGTGATGACCTGTTCCAGACACATCCTCCACCAATGCCAGATGCCTCAAGGTGTTAACCAGTTCTCCCTATGCAACTTGGGCAGCCCGCCCTATTTCTGCCAACTAACTGTGGGCTAGCATATCTACAACTAGGCCTAGTTAACGAAAAACACTTCCTTCCAGGACATTACAAACCAGGCAAAAAAAAAAAAACGTTTCCCCAAAAGCCAATTGAGTGAAACCTATAGTGGTGATCGGCTAATCCCACACTATTCC